GCCAAAACAAGTTTTGATTTCACCTATACCTATTGAAACAAACTAATCAGTGAATTTCGAGATAGATGACTAAATGGGTAAAATATGATTATCATATTTGAAAGTCGTGAGTTCGGTTTTTGTTATAAATCTTTTAGTTGAGTTGGTCACGTAAAGTTACACCCTTGGACAATGATGGTTAATTTTCATCCTTATGTAAGTTATGTTCCTTCTTGGAGAAGCTGTGGCTTGTAGTAATGAATTAATGAATTAAAAAGACAATTACCAAACACTACACTCTTCATGTTTGACAAATGGATAACATTCACTACAAGTCTACAAAAGTAAACTTCCTTTGATTGGAGAGACAAGTCATTTCCCTTATTTTATTTAATATTCTGTACTCATGAAAATTTATTTATTCCAACAAACACTAGCCCAATAAACGCAAACACTTTTTGTTTAAATTTTTTTTATTTTTTATTTTTACAAGAAGAATAAATCAATTCATTAAATCAAACGATAACAAATCAGTAATGGAAAAGGGAAAGTGACATACCAATCATTATTGTTGTGTGGATCATGGTCCACACAACTAGGCGGATCATGCTATCTAATAATATACATTCAATACATAAATAATGTACTTTTAGTACATTAAAAATGTACATTGTATTCAAAAAAAATACATTATTTGAGTACTGAAAGTATACTATTTTATATTAATGTACATTCAATACACGTGATAGTACTAATTCTCTCGTACATAGACCGTAGGAGGTAGTACAAAATACGGTTTCGTGTACACAATATTGAGTTATGATGATCCAATGCTCGGGATCCGCTGACAGTAGGTCGGAAGTCGCCGAGTAAGTGCCTGAGTTGTTTAGTCGCCTAACGTCCCTTCTTATCGTAATAAATGCGGATATTTATAGGGAAAGTGAAGGGGGGGGGGGGGCAAGCGTCCGGGTTATCGGCATGGCGGACACGTGTCCAGTGCACACAAGGCAGGCATATGGGCAACACCCGCCTTCGACACGTACATCGCTTGAAAAAGGCCATGCGTGGGAATCATTCGGGAAAGTAAGTCGGGATGCACCGACCGGGCAGTGCCGGTCGGTCTTGAGGGAACACATCGCGCCTAGACCGTACCGACCGGAATACGCAGTGCTCGAGTACCTTGCTCGGGAAGTATATTCCTATCAACACGAATAATGTACTTTTAGTATATTAAAAATGTACTTTTTGTTATGGTCTACACAACAATGTGTGACCATGGTCCATACAATATTCCCTACAATCAGACATAGAAACGGCCTCCCTAGCTAACGCATGAGTAACACGATTCATAGATGGTTTAGAAAAATATAAGCCTATATCCAAGAATTCATTATCTACTAGCTTCTTTAATATTATCAATAATTAATCTAAAAGTATAATAAAAGGTGTCTGAGTAAATAGCCTGCCAATCTTTCTGAGCATCTGTTTCCACATCCACTCTATCAATCTCCAACTCCTTCAACCAAACTCAGAGCTTCACGGAGGCTTAAAGTTTCTTTTTGAAAAAGACAACTACCTCAATTTTAAAGAAAATGACTTTTTAAATAAACTTTTTATGCAACACTTTATGAGAATCGAAACTACTTTCAAAATGAGATTTAATATAATCAAAAGTCAATTGAATTAATTTCATCTAATTAATTTCATCTCGTAAAATGTGAATACTATCACAATATATAAAAGTAAATCCATTCTAGGATTTAGTACCTCAATCTTCTTCTTCTATAACACATACATGTATATAGACATTGTTCAATCCTATCAAAATCATCAATAAAATATTGCATACTCTTCACCAAGTTAAACTATAATATATATGCAAGGTACATATAATTTCCCATAATTTTTTTAGTACTAATTTCTCACAGTTGTTACAACTATCGTACGTACAAATCTATAATATGAATCCTTGAAAATGAAAGATTTTAAGTACAAAACTATAAGCAATCTGCATAGTGGCCTAGTGCTCCAACTTAATTGAAAAGTTGTGTATTTTTTTCATAATAGATCCCATGCTAGTACTAAAATATTCATTTTTGTCGCATCAATAACACATTATGATTTATTTTTCAAAATTTATCATCCAAATTTCTATATGTGACATTTTATCATCTAACAATGCTTTTGGACCATTTTCCAATCAAATATCACTCATATGTTTGCTAAATTTTCTCGATTGATTAAAAATGGCCAAAATATCCCAAACCAGTAGTCTAATGAATGAAAAGTTTCATTTAAAATTTGAGTTAATACCTAAAATCGTCCTCGACTATAGTGGTTTTTCTCAATTTCGTCCTAAACGATTTTGGTGACCTAATATCGTCCCAGACTTTTGTGTTTCGCTCAATTTAGTCCTCCATTTGTTATTCCGTCAAATTGGTGTTAAATAAAGGGACAATTCAGTAATGTCAATATTGATCTCTCTTTACTTTCAACTTGTGAAGTGCGAAATTCCTCTTTCTTATACGAATTACACACAGAATTACTCCCGGACCTGCAAATCAAATTTTATATTCGCAGTTTTAGGAGTAATTCGTAAAAAAAAAAGGAATTTCGCAGTTTACATGTCTATGAGTAAAGAGATGCCAATATTAAAATTATTGAATTGTCTATTTATTTAACACCAAATAGACAGAATAACAAATGAGGGGCTAAATTGAGCAAAAATACAAAAGTCTGGGACTAAATTGAGCGAAACACAAAAGTCTGGGACGATATTAGGTCACCAAAGTCGTTTAGGACGAAATTTAGAAAAACCACTATAGTTGAGGACGATTTTGGGTATTAACTCTTTAAAATTTGTTTTTAGGGGTAGGATGAGATTTGGTTTCTGCCACGCACATTGAGGTTTGAGTTTGAGTTGAAATTATTGTGCGTAAAAATGTAAAAATATGTTAAGTCTCGAAACTAGGTTAGCTTGATTTATCTTCCAGTTGTTATATCGTGGACCGCGATAAAAAGGGCACCGTTTTTTTAAGTAAAGAAACGGCGCCCCGTTACAGTTAACGGAGCACGCATATTTGGTGTATTAATTATCAACTGACACTATAGTGTATTTAAACCGATACTGCTTCACGTAATATTTTATATATTATCAACTGAAACTGCAATTCAATTGAAGTGAAACTGTAGTTGTGTTGAACTGAAACTACAGTGTATTTAAACTGACACTGCATCACGTATTATTTTTTTTTTATTATTAACTGAAACTGCAATTGAAGTGAAATGAAACTGTAGGTGTGTTGAAATGAAACTGCAGTGTATATAAAATGAAACTGAATAACATTTCACATTTTTAGTGTATATTGTGTAATGAAGCTGTAGTTATATCGAAATGATCATGTAGTTGTGTTTTAATGAAACTATGGTGTATATAAAATAAAATTAAATCACATTTTCACATATTTGGGTGTTATAATATCGAATGAAGATGTAATTATATCGAAATGAAACTACAGTGTATACAAAATGAAACTGAATAACAGCGTTACTTTTTGTGGAATGGCGCGGAACGACGCGAAACAGATGTCGTTTATTTTCATTAAATAAAACGACGTCGTTTTGACGCGCGGTGCATAATCGATTATGCACCGCGGTGTGCACAATATAATTTGCCATTATCTTCTTATGTACTTGGAGGCATGTTTATGAAGTCTAGGATATAGTTTGACGAAATTGAAAAATATGGGTTATAAAAAAGAATGCCAAAATATATGGTGGGTTGAAATGACAAAATGCTAATGGGCCGTTTGGTTGGGTGTAGTTGAAATTCAATTACAACATAATTCTTTAACCACCCAAATTACAATGTTTGGTTGGAGAGAATTGCAATTTTCTCATTTTGATGAATTGCAATTCAATGGGAAAAATGAAAGGAAAAAAAAGAAGAAAATCACTTTTTTACCCTTGATTATTATTAATATTAGTATTACACAAAGACGTTTTAGTCTTTAGAATCGCGTTTTGGTGCGAATGGCGCGCCCATGAGCGAAATGCGAATAATCCTGCGTGCGCCACGTGTTCAGATGTAAGTGCGCCTATAGTTATAACTAGGTGCATTTGTAGGTGAAAGTAGGTGCACCCGATCAATGAATGTTAACAGTACAAGGCAAAATTACATGCACTTGTAAGTGAAAGTAGGTGCACCCGATCAATGAATGTTAACAAGGCAAAATTACATGCACTTGTAGGTGAAAGTAGATGCACCCGATAAATGAATGTTAACAAGGCAAAATTACATGCACTTGTAGGTGAAAGTATGTGTACTTGTAAGTGCAAGTAAAATGTTACAAGTGCATGTAAAATGTATTATAAGTGCAAGTAAAATTTACACTGAGCATCAATACTAAGTGCACCTGACGTTATAACTAGGTGCATCTATAGTCATAAGTAGTTGCACCTAGGTGCACGAAGGTTAACAAGGTAAAATTACTTGCACTTATAGGTGAAATAAAGTGCACTTGTAAGTGAATTTACCTGCACTTTTTACTTAAAAAAAGTGCACCAACTACTTGCACTTATAACACATTTACATGCACCAAAATTTGAGTTATTTACGAAAATGTCACCGCGTCATTTTTTTAAAATTACATCTGATTTGTTGATCTGGACACGTGGATGGTCAGCGTACATTCCTTTTTCTCTCCTGGGAGCCTATTCACAAAGGAGTGCGCCCCTTAGTCTTTATATGGCTCATTCCCAATAATTCTATTATTCCTTAACAAAATGTAATTTAAATTCCTACCTTATTTCATATTATCTTTTTTTTTTCACTGAATTAAAATTTCTTCCCCTATTTCTCATCGAATTAGAGTTTCTTCCCCCTAATTCCTTCTTACTAACCTAACGCATTGCAAATCTTGTTAAGTTTAAGTCTTTGGTGCTAATTACATTTTGCCCTTAGAAAAATAATTACGTAAAGCTGTGGTTTTGATTCTGTAGTTAATGATTGGAAAGCTCTAATTTTGGGTGTTTTTTTGACTGGGAAACGCCAGGGAGGAAGAGGGGTCCATCCACGTGGGTTCATCGGTCTTTCGATCATATCAATACTTCGAATCCCATAGAGCTCTGCGCACCATCTCGAAGAATTTGCAGACAGAAGATCAATCGTACTGCTCGAAAACCAGATTTTGCAATCGGGAGCTATGGTTTCCTTCAAGCTTTTATAGGTAATGGTTTGGCGCAGAGAAATAAGGGGTTAAGAATCAGCAATGAAAGGCGTCTTCTCGGCGCCCGGTGATTACATCTACTTCAAGTCTCAGGTCCCTCTTCATAAGATCCCTGTAAGTGTGTTGTCATCTGATTTATAAAAAAAGATGCCTTTTTACGTTGTGTTCGAATGTTTGAAATCTGGGATTTGTTCCCCTGATTCTTATCTCAATTGGGTATTCCTTTGTTTCTGTTTCTGGGCTGCCAGTTACTCCGTGATTATGCGAACTTGTTCTCAGGAATTTAATGTTTCGTTAATAAAGATGGCATCTTTAGGACACTGTTTTACTTATTTATGACTGAGCAGGTTTGCTTGTTTATAGAAATCATATCATTGGAACATTTGTACTCACTGTATCTTTGTATGAACTGAGCCTGTTGCAGTCATTCGAAGAGTGTGGTTAGCTCATAACTGTGTCTAATTTGTATAAGCTTCTCTAGTTATATCTTGCATCTGTGATCTGTCTGTAGAATTTGTTAAGCTTTTTGGAGTTCTCTTAGGTTCTGTGTATTTGGTCTTTCCATTTGTTAATGAAATAGTTTATCTGATAAGCTTTTGGTAGTGTCAAAAGAATGTTCCGTTTAGCAGTATCATGGTTTTTGTTTGTGGCATTCTGAACTTTTCCTCATTCTGAATATATGGCTAGATAAGTTCAAATTACAAAATTTGATGGCACTGGTGTGTGGACTTTTCATATGTGAATTCTGATAGTGAGCTCTCTATAATTTTGGTTTTATCATGCAAAAGATTGCGTTCATTTTGCCCGCTTTTAATCACAGATTGGGTCGAAGCAGTGGCGCTATTATGATTTTGGCCCTAAAGTGGTTCCTCCACTCATCTGTCTTCCTGGCATAGCGGGAACGGCTGATGTATATTACAAGCAGATCATGTCATTGTCCATGAAGGTAGTAATTTTGATGATGTCATAATTTGTTTTTGTCGTTGCATAACCTGCTTCTTCGTTCTTCTACAAACAGATCATGCCATTTGTCCATTGTTGCGTCTATATTTAGTATTTAGTATATGCACTACTGATCTGTCTGATGTTTCTTTCGATTGTTGAATATCAAACAGCTATGCTTAGAGGATTCCATACAAAGTGGAGAAAGATAAGTCCTTAATGAAAGTAATACCTGATGGGTAGATACTCTCAGCAGTTTTGAGTCTTTTTTCTAAATATCATTTATCTGAATCATAAAGTAATACGACCTCTTTAGAAATGATCCAAATTCCCTCAAGAATGTCGAGGAAAACTGAAATTAGGTTGGGCAGAAATAGGCGGTTTTACTGAAATTTATCTAGATATGTGGGATGATAAATGTCGGGTGAACTTAATAATCATCTAAATATGTGCTGAATGGAAATACTGTAAGTCCAATCCTTAGAAATGAATACTAATGGCGGTTAACCGAATCCCTGCAGGCCTGTAAGCGCAGGTGATTTATTTCAAAGATAAAAATTTCTCCTTTCTGTTTATATGTTTTATAAAATTTTCTATTGTACCATTTATACTTCTTGAGTTGGCTTTTTTTAATCTATGCGTATCTTTATTTGAAAGAAGCCAACACTTATAGTATTTCCGTTCAGGGTTATCGCGTGATTTCTGTTGATATTGCCCGTGCATGGAACCATCATGAATGGGTTCAAGCATTTGAGAAGTTTCTAGATGCTATTGATGTTCACCATGTAAGATTTCTCCGACCTTGGTTCTCTGTATCTTTTTCATCTTTCGAATGACATTTGAAGTCTCAGAGAAAACAATTTTTTTTTTTTTTGGTCATGTGAATCAAGTTGCACCGTCTCCTTTCTAAATGATACCTACTTGAGCTTTGATTGGCCTCTCGAGTTAAAAACCGCCTTTTCACTTTCACGTAACATAATGCACATATCACAATGATAACATGTAGTTATATATTAACTGTTTAACTGATCCAGCAATTTTTATTTGGATAGATACATCTATATGGTACAGCACTCGGAGGATTCTTAGCACAACTATTTGCTCAGCATCGTCCACGTCGTGTTAGGTCGTTGGTACTTTCAAACACTTTTTTGGAGACAACTAGTTTTGCTGCTGCTATGCCATGGGCTCCTGTGTAAGTTCCATGCTAATATCCACGAGTTTGAATTTATCGATCTTATGTTCACATTGGAATTGTATTGCAGACTATGATTTGAAGCCAATAAAATTGTCTGCTTTGACTGAAATCATATCCCAAATGAGTGTCTTATCGATTCATTTTGATTTTTGAATCCCATTGTACTAAGGAACTAACAGGAATTAAAATATATAGTTTCTGTTCCTAAATATAGCGCTTTAGTGCTGCTCAACGATGCTAAATTTGTTGTTATACACTACTAAAATAAAAAAGAGAAATTGTTTATGCACTTTCAGAATCTGATCTTTTTCGTGCATTGAAAGATAAGTTTTTTCTATTTTCGTTTCCTCGATGCAGTGTTGCTTGGACACCGTCTTTTCTACTGAAGCGGTATGTCCTGACTGGAATCAGGGATGTCCCGCAAGAACCTTTTATTGCAGATTCTGTGGATTTTGTTGTTTCCCAGGTAAAATTTTAAGCCGAACCATTTCAACAGTTCTGATTGGTTGGTCTTCTCGGGTGATCCTTCATAAGCACACGCATTTACACTATGAACGTCTGAGCTTTATATTTTGTGTAGGTTGAAGCACTCGCTAAAGATGACCTGGCATCCAGATTAACATTGACGGCAGATGCTGCATCAGTTGGACCTCTTCTCCTTCCAGATTCTTCTATCACCCTTATGGATGTACGGTTAGCTAAACGTTTCTATAGGTTACATTTCCACATATGAACATGCATTGGGTATCGATTATTGAACCCCCTCTCGTATGGAAAAATCAATCTGGCCAGCACTTTGCCCTTTAATTGGGCCCGGCCCGGTGCGAACGGGGATTAGTCTGACTGTCTGAGTATGGTACAGGCTTAAAGGTGCCTCCTACAGTTAGGGCCTACTCTGACCAAAAAAAAAAACGTGCATTGGGTTACAAATTTTGTGTTGAGAATGTTCTCGTTGCTTCCTATATAGCGAGATTATACTGTCATATGTTTTCTTTTATGCTAAATAGTGCTCGATATCTTATATGCTTTGAATATTGTATCTCATCTGTATTGAATTTTTTTTTTTTTTTTTTTTTTTTTTTTTATGGTACGTTTGCTGCTGCTTGAAGACGAATGATTACTGTGCGACCCCACAACAGCTCAAAGATCAAGTTAGAGAAAGGTACCCCGGTGCCCGACAAGCAATCTTGAAGACTGGAGGTGATTTTCCCTTTCTTTCTCGGCCCGATGAAGTGAACCTTCATCTTCAGGTATTGAAGTTTGTTTTCGAGGATGAGGTTTCAATCACTGGTAATAATAACGTTGAGTTACTCATTAAGTTTCCAATGGAACGAACAGCTACACCTGAGACGAGTTGGTGTTGAGGCACGACCAGACTTGGTTAGGAGCGTTCCCCGGGATGGCAATGGCGAAAGTTCGGATGGACCTAAAGACGAGAGAGGAGATTCTGATGATGGGTCAAAAGACGACGATGCTAATCACTCAGAAAGCCCTTCCCACACGGACGAACCACCGTTCGCTCCGGGAGGTACCGATCCACCATTGACACCACAAGGTACGCATTCTCATACACTAGCGAATCACTCGAGAATTTCCAAAAGCGAGCAACTTTCAAACGCGTTTTCTGAAACCGAGCTAAACATGGCATCTCGAGTCTTGTTACACTTCATCCATCGTCTGCTTCCCCTCTACCTCGGGGCATTTTGCGCTAATTCAAAGCATTGCTTGGAATTTAGAAACTTAGTATAGAGGAATTTCTTTGTAAATTATGGTTTTTTTTGTAGACACCAGAAATGGAAATTGAATGCTTGAGTTTGTGGTGGAAAGGTTCTTTTTAGTTGAGACAGCTATGCAATGTATCTGTGTACCTCCAGCTTCAAAATGTTCAATTTTGACATTGCTATCAGAAATTTTTAGTTGAAATTGCTACAAAAACACTCTCTTTGGGCTCGTGGACCAATTGGTTCGATTGATCACCTTAAAATCCTACTCCAATGCAGTCTTTTTGTCCTTTGGGGAGACTTTAATTGATTAGAGAAGATAAAGAATTCTCGTGCACAAAGTGTACAGATAGACATGACAATCTATATTTACCTTTTAAAAAGGCTAATTTTGATCTCTTGATCATGGTATTTTTCCATCCTCGATTTTTAAAAGCATGTTGTTTCTGGATCTAGAAAGTACCACTCTTTCCTCGATTTTTAAAAACATATTGTTTCTGGGTCTAGAAACTACCACTCTTTAGTATGAATAGAAGACTAAAAATGACATCTTTTTAATAGTCGATATTCAAATATGATAAAATAGAATAGTTAAACTAAAACTTATATTAACCCAATATTTTTATTTTCTTATCTGCAAGTGGGTGTTTCCAGAATTTAGCAGAATAGAATTATATCCATGAAGAGGATTAGAGTGATTAGCTTGGGACAGATGAGGATGAGATGGACATTTTTTGGATAATCTCTGAATATTACGCCTAGTCCTAATGGTTACATCACCTTAACGCGGGCGGTGGAAGACAATAAAACTACCATTTTCCCCTGTTTTCATATGCCTTTTGATTAGGTAATAGCTGTACGCAAATGCAAATGCAGTAACCGCCCAGGATTAAATTGTATTAATTTTTATGTTATATTTATTACAACTGTATCATAGTTCTATTTATTAATTAGGTGGTAGTATATTATTTAATAATTAATTATTTCTCCCAAAAGATTGAATTTTCAACTTTGGACCCCATAGCCTGACCCGATAGAGCATTTGGAAGGATATAAATCATGGTGACTCAATAGCTCGACAGACAAGGCTAAATGCCTTAATAATAATCAATTACTTTCTATAGGAATTGACCTTTTCTTGATAAAAGGAGAAGTTAAACGCTCAAATTATATAAATTTAGGCCAAACAAAATAAACTCAATCATTAACGAAAGATATAACCCTTGCTTACTAGGGTCATAACTCATAAGACGGAGTTTACTCACTGCACATCTTTAGGTAGTAGTTGTGAGTTTTGCTCGTCACAAAACCCAAAATAAAAAATAAAAAATAAAAAATAAAAAAAGTATAACCCAAGATGTGAATGATCATGACATGAAAAGACCAAATCATAATAAATAACATAAAATTCTACCGTTAAACTTTACGCGATTCCATTCTAGGATATGAATTGAATCAACCTAGCTTTGAACTTAATGTGAAAAGCCTCATGCTTAATTAAGAAAGTGGAATATAGTTAAACAGTCCTAATCAAAAAGAGATTAGATCTAAAAGACCAATGGGTGATAAACAACATTAAAAAGGTTGTAAATTAAAGGTATATATTATGAAGTCAAGGTTAATGCATGATAAACTTTAACACGACATACGGTGGGAAGAATTCTATTTTATTCAACTTAATTTTGTCTATGGTTAGTTATAAACGTCTTTATAAATAAATTAAATTAATTTATTTCAATGCAAGTTGATTAAGAAAATTAAGAAAGTGAAAATAGAGTGTTTAACATGTTGCTCCATCATATAGTCGTAACTGATCAATAACTGATTGAAAATCAAAATAACCTATTTTTTAAATAAAAAAATTTCATAACTTATGTTTATTGCACATCCCTATGTTTAAATGCCTAGTAAATTCCCATCCATCATCATAAGTAAACCAATCGAGAAAATCAAAATAACTAATTTTTTTTAACTTCATAACCAATACCTGAAAATTTTAATCGATTTGATTGTTAGTAATCATCGGTTACTCAATCGATCGACTATTTTTGTTCATGCTTACCCAAGATCTTCAAGAACAGGGTGAGATGCCGAGCAAAATTGTCAAAAACTTCGAAATTAAGAATATTGGTATTATAAAAAAGACGAACTAGTTTACATAACAATATGAAATTTTACAAATAGTTTAATCAATTAAACTCATCCTCAAAAGATGCTTAAATTAATTAAGTGCAAATTACATATTTAGAAACACTAGTAGCCGTTAATGTTGACCTAATGACCTGCGGGCTGATATGCCAAAGTTCAACATTGTTTTGTAACACGTCCTTGGTGTGTAGAAAACAACCAATACTAAATACATTGTAATTAGTTAAAAGTTAAGGTATATGTCAGGGGTGATGATATGATGTTGAATTGGATCAATAATCTATCTGTTTTAATTTGTGAATTGTCAAATCTATTTGTGCTCCTACACGTTAGGTTCCTTCCTCACGCGGCATGTATTCAACCCTTTAAATAGTTACTCTAAAGGTTTAAATTTCATTTTGACTTTTGTTCTTTGATTTACGAAAACGAAAAGTAAGTTGTCCATAGTTGATCGACTAATTAAGAATGTCAAAAGACATTAAGTTAAATTTAGAATTTTGTGATTACTAAGCTCATTGTCCAACCAACTCAGCAAGCTCATTGTCCAACCAACTCAGCTGATTTTGCCCTCGTATCAACTACTATTATACATGTATAGTAGATGCATTTTAGTTGAATGGGTATTTAATTAGAAAGTCGACTATTTTATGTCTGATTAGAGATAGTTACTAGGTTGAGTTATACTCAATCGACCTGATTTGAATTCAAACTCAACATTGATCAAGTCTGATTTTTCGTCAACTCATAACTGGTCTATGCCAAATAATGCTTCTTAAAGTGTTATCCAGAGTTAAAACTAATTTAAATATTGATTATTTTTATATCCAGTAACATAAATAAATTTGTCCATCTTGAGGACTTGAGGTTAATATGGTTGTAAAAAAAAAAAAAGATGGATATGTATATATATATATATATATATATATATATATATATATATATATATATATAGCATTCTGGACCTTTCTGGTAGGGATATGGATTAGAGGGTTGTAGGTGTAGTCAATGCATACGCTGTATTGTACACGTATGTATGAGAATACCGACCAAAGGGCGCGCATACATCGGAAAAAGTCAACAAATACGGTCTATTTCCGTACCAGATGCGTAAACGGACACCGTACGCATATCTTTTTTGAACGCCATTTTGGGATGGATTATATGAAATAAAATATGGTCTGTTATTAGTTAGAACAAATACAAATAATTATTAAAATTTTTAATCAATGCAATTTGATAATTATATATTTATTAGACTTTTAATATATAATTTAGACTCGTTGTTTTTGGTTCGTTACTTCGTTTACTACATCAAAGTCAAACTAATACTTAATCTTGTTAAATGTTTTAAATATGATATATAATTTTTAAATTGATGTTTGTGTTTGATAAAAAAAATTCATATAGTTATAAATGTATAAGTTTTATTGGATAAGATTGTAAGAATTGTGTTAATTAATAGAAATTAAATTATAAATAATTTGATTTTTTTAATTTAAAGGACAAGAGATTCTTGGAAAAGAATTGTCAATCACCTTTATCGCAAAAGGACTATCCTCGCCTCGAAATGTCCGAGCAATCCTCACTTAGCAACGTAACGATCTCAATTACAGGTGGAACAAACACTTCATGCCATCTGCTTACACCGTGACACACAGTGTTAGCTGGAGAATTTGCAATCGTTCTGTTATCAAATATGGCAAAGCACAATTTCCTAAATATTATGTTGGGGAGCGGGGGTGGGAGGGGGGGTGGGGGTGCGGTGGGGGGAGATACAGGTGTAGCTTCTCCCTTTTACCCATTTCACCACCCCCTCTAAGTCGAATTGCACTGCAACCTACATCTAACCTTTTTCTCGAGCTAAGTAATTCTCTTAAAAAAAACACTCATGAAATAATACAAATATAACTTAATACCCAGCATTTTGAGACAATTGAAACAATTACACGGGCGAATAAGCGGCTCTTAGCTTGTACTTTGCATTCAACTTTCCTTTGAGTAATTACAGTATATATTTAATTTCAAATCTAAATTAATTTCACATTCATCATCTTTTACATACATTACAAACGAGTAAAAGTCAAAATTTGTCGAATAGACTAATCTCATGCACCTACATCATCTCTTACATCATATTCATGCAATACTAGTGAATGCAAATGATTAAATCACATGAAATCAACATTTAATTTGTACCTAATAAACATTGCTTAGGCCTAAAGTTTACTATTCTTAGACCAATTTTTTTCAGTAGACCTGATTTTCCCCCATTAATGGCGTTTACCCATTTCTGAGCACTCAACCCCACAACTAATTTCCCAGAAATTTATGACTTTTACTGTCCATTTCAAAGCTTTCATTTATGTTGCACCAAAGACTTTATGTTGGTACACATTTTTATACAAATTATGAATTGAACCATTAATTGCTGCATGCTCACTGACTCTCTGCATTTATTTCACTTCCTACCAAATAACAATCCACATCAAACACTGCACCACTTGGCCCTACCACACTAATCTTGAACCGTTCACAACATCATTAATTTGATGTTGGGATGTTGTGAGATCACCACAGGAGAAGTTATAGGTTTGACTTTATGATGTTTATCCAAAAATGCAACTGATCCTAGTCAGACAAAGAGCCGTAATGAGGTAAATCTGCTTAGGTTGTAATTGTTCGATCAATTTAGCTAAGGTTACTCTCATAAAATTTATTCTATCATTATCCTGATAGGATGTAATCGAGTAAAGATGAACGTGCATTAACAATCAAAGCTCGAACCTCAAGTTAGTTTAAAAAATTAAATATCGAACTTAACTTAACTCAAGATTAAGTACGTTATTCGAGTTCGACTCGAAGAAACTCTAATTTTTTTCTAAGTACGTTATTCGAGTTCGACTCGAAGAAACTCTAATTTTTTTTTGGCTTACACTCGTATAGTAATTGGATCTGGTTTTATTTTATGAATATAATAATGTTAAGAAAATGAAAATCCAACCCACATGAATTCGTAATCTCCCACGTTGGATTTGGGTAGAATAATAAATGTCAACGTGAACTCCATATGACCATTTCCTCCAGTTCTGTTCTTTCCTTATTCTATTATTTCTAGAGGGTCGCTTTTCTTGCTCAACCATTTTCTGTCTGTAATATAAACCCAATCTTCAGTCTTGACTGCTTTACAATTCCAATTTCTATTCTTCATCTCACTGCGCCTTTCTAAGTCCTTTTCTTTGCCCCAAAGCAAAGCATATATAATAATTTCCAGACCCAAAAAGGTGATAATAACATACAGAAGAGGAGGAAGATCAGAGTTAAGATGAAGCTTGTTTGGTCGCCGGAAAATGCATCCAAAGCTTATATTGATACTGTGAAATCTGTAAGTTTTTGTAAGAAAGGGAAAAGATATCTTTTTTTTTCTTTTGGGTTATCTTGATGATGATGGGCTTATGATGTTTTGCTGTTATTTTGGGTGTAGTGTGAGCTGTTTCATGAATCTAGTGTGGCGGAGTTGATATCGGCGATGGCGGCGGGGTGGAATGCTCAGCTGATTGTGGAAGCGTGGTCGAAAGGAGGGGTGACGGCGACGAGCGTGGGGCTGGCGGTGGCGAGCCGCCACGCCGGAGGCAGGCACGTGTGTATACTCCCGGATCAAGAATCGAGAGAGGAGTACGCAGAAGCCATGCAGAAGGCGGGGATGTCGCCGGAGATAATTGTGGGAGAGCCGGAGGAGGCCATGGAGGGGCTGGCGGGGATTGATTTCCTGGTCGTGGATTGCCGGAGAAATGACTTTTCGAGATTACTGAGGGTGGCGAAGCTAGGCCACGGCGGCGCTGTACTGATATGCAAGAATGCTAGCTCAAGGGTGGCTGCGGATTTCCGGTGGCGGAGCGTCCTCGACGGAAATTCAAGAATTGTCCGCTCCGTTTTTTTGCCGGTGGGGAAGGGGCTGGACATGGCACACGTGGGAGCCACCGGTAGCGGCGGCAGAAAGGGAGAAAGCAGGTGGATCAGACATTTCGACAAGGAATCCGGTGAAGAATTTCTTTTCAGAAAATGAATCTTTGCCCCTTTGGTGAGCATCATCTCAACTGGATGCAATCATATATTTATTCGTTCTTTTTTATAATTTTATTTTCATAGTTTCAGCTATGTATATAATATTATAACATAAATTAAGAAAATGAAAGAATTTTCTGCTTCCCAGAAGGGTAGTTTTAGTTGCAGAAATGCAAAACCATATGTAAAATCTTCAAGTTTTATTATTTTTTTTTAATGAATTTTGCAGCAAGCAAGCAATAGATTCAAAACCAATACCAATTACAAATGTATAAAAATGTCCAGTGAAAAGCTCACACCAAAAAAGTCAATAGACAGCTCTTATGGAGAGTCGAATTTAAAACTTCGTGATTACCAGGCCAACTGTTCGACTAATTTGGTGGAACACAAGTTGCTACTGACAGTTAAACTGTGGGCTTTGCAATTCACAACTATTACAAGTGTTTCTAAATTAGGGCTATATATATATATATGTATCTATAACTATCCATGTGGTGGGAAAATGGTGACTTCTACTTCCCCTTTAGAGACAAGTTATGGTTGCCAGAAATACCTGTAGAGCTTAAAGCATGAGTTTCTCAGTGCATTTTATCAATGTTATGAACATAGAGATCACAGAAAGAGATCGATGATGAAGTTCCATATCCATACCTGTGTTTGGGAAGAACGATTTTGCGCCTAATTCATAAACCTGTAAAATCAATCAATCCCAACTATCCCGGCTTCTTCTCATAGCCTTCTTCTGGGAAAGAGCCTTCTTGCTGTCAAGGCGTTTACGCTCCCCAGCTGCAGCTCTTTGAGTTGTGGAGAAGAATGGAAGGTAAGGAAAGAAAGAGGGGGTCAATTGTCGGGCTATAGTTATAACTCAAGTGCAATGCAGTCTTAGGAAAGTTGACAAAGCTAAAATTTCGCAATCCCATGGAAGAAACAGTAATGGCGAAGACGGGGCAAGTGAACTCTTACAACTTTGCAATTCTTTTCACTTGCTCTTCTGATGGAGGTGGTGGGACATACGAAGCAGCATCGATGATGGCCTGCAATTGTACACTCCATTACAACTAACTCTGTAGTGGTTATAGAAGCAATTCTAGCGTCTAACACATGATCTGTGACCATCAAGAATGTTTTTGTTTTTTTTTTGCCATTTCTGACCAGATGGTAAAGCTAATTTAGAACCGTACAACGCAGAAAAGTTTCCAACTAGTACCTGTAATTTACTCAAAGCATCTTCAATGTTACCCCTGAAACAATGATAGCATCTAATTAGTTGAATTAGGCAGTGATTAAGGAGAAAGAGGCCATTTAATGGGAAGCGGTTTACTTTTGTGTTCGGGTCTTGGTAGAAGAAATCACAAGCTCTCCATCTTTATTGATCCGATTCTTTTCCTGTTTAAACCCAAAGATAAGATAAATAGTGGTAAGCAAGTTTTCACATGAAAAGGCCACCATTAGCAAACTGGTCTAATGAGCAGAAAGTGGTTGCTTAGATTTGCAGAGTAATTACAGAACCAAAAACCTTTAAAGACAAATCATCTAACATTACTGAAACATTATAGTTACTGTCAATGCTCTAGGAACGCACAATTTGCCGAGTTATCTTACTGTGACCTGAAGCCATATCCATAAACAGACTATCCGCCTAATACTCTTTTCTTTGCCTTCAATTTCATTGGAACTCAATTTTAAATTCAAGGTTTCAACTAAATATTACCGGAAGTATGAAGCTACTTTCTAAGAAAAGCTAGGCAACCAGAAAGGCACGATTCTATCCCTATGGAACTGCAGTAAGAAACTCAAGTGAATCGAGGGTGTTCTCCAATCCTAATGAATCTAAAGCAACTTTAACAAGCAATCATGGCCTATTATCCTATGTACATATCCACCTACTAGTCTACTACCCTTTTCATTCAAACGACAATCTAAATTCTGAAATAAAGGAAATAACAACTGACCGTTTGGATAATCCTCTCCCTAACCCTTTCACTTAACCAATGTGCATTTTGAACATTGAACCGCATATCCACCTTGGTATTAACTGCAAATAGGAAAAAGGAATCAACCTACGAAAAAAGAAAGGGATGGATAATTTAAAGCAATATTTTCTTCTAATTTAGCTACCAGAGACCTTTGTTGACGTTTTGACCTCCCGGGCCGCTACTTCTAGCAAAGTTGACAGTAACATGATCTAGATTCACAATAAGAAAAACAAGAAAAGATATTAGATTTGTCCTGTGACTTAGAGTGAAGTACTAGAACAATGCCGGCCATGAAGCAATGCTAAGGTGTTGCAGCCAATTTTTTCCTCCAAATGAACTTCTGCTTCCACTTTCCTTCAGCAGTTTTGTTTTCCCCTTAACTGTTCTCACTATTTCTGTACACTATGCTCCAATCATTTTTCTAAACTAAAAAGTTCAAATGGTACCAATGTCAGACTGAACATCGCAGGCACTATAAGTTAAATTTGATTTAGGAAAGTATAGCGCGATGATGATGCTGGAAAATCCCCAATTTAATCGACTTACAGAGTTGATTTTCGTTTGGATAATTGCTTAAATGAACAAAAACAGAAAGGGGGATTTAAATGGGAGGTATACCGATTGTGATTTTAGGGATAGGTTCATTCCCGGCGGATTGAGCCCGCTCCGTGGCTTCATATATGAGCTGCTGAACCTGAGCCATCCTAGCCGGCGACTTCTTCCCGTCGTCATCGCTTCCGTCGTGTGCCTTGCACAGGACGGGAGAGTAGTAGATGGTGCGCAAGACGAGGAGAGAGCTCGAACCAATGGTTCTCGGTCGCAGCGGCGCGTGGGCAAAACGTGCTGTAAGTAAAGATATCTGTGGCCGGAATATTCCCCGTGAAAGTACGCTCGTCGTGGCTCTCATTGCTGCCATTTCCGCCTCAAATTCAAAGCCCAATAGTGTCTGGACTGTGTCTCTTCTCAGGGGCTTGTTTATTTACAGAAATGTTCTTCATTTTTAATTTCTTGAAATTTTCTTTCAAATATTGATTTAACTCCACTATTTCAAAATATAAAATATTTAAAATTGAATTTTTTATATAAGAAAAATATAAATAGACTTGACAATAACTAATATAAAATATAAAATTATTACTATAGACCAAAGTCAATCTTGCATGCATATATATAACTAATATATTATGTAGGTTTCGTCAATAAATTATGTGCTGTAAATAAATTAAAAACACATAATATATACTTATAGTCATAATATATTAACTCAAACACATTATTATTAAATATCATTTCAAAACAAGATCCAGTGAAACATAATATAATTTGCCTCGTGAAGATGTCGCCAATTATCTAGCTAATAGATCTGTCAATTCATGAACTTTATATAACATGAAAAATTATGATCTTACAATAGTAAAAAATACTGGATGTCTAAAACGATCATACTAGAAAATGAAGATTCAATTGACCAACATCAAGACTATACTTTCTAGTTTCTATACCATGAACGCTACAAGAGACATATTTCAACAATGTAAATTTTAGTTTCCACTTTGGTATATAATGTCCCAGTTAAGTAACTAGTGCATTTTGCCATCTGCTAGCTTTATTCACACACTAATGGGACCGTCTCGCGCCTCTTTTGTCCTCTTTCCTTGTTGCAGTTGATGAGAAGCTCTGGTTCAGGTTCACACTTGGCTGCTCATTCTGAAATGTTCCGTCTCCATAGATGGGTCTCGTGCTACTAGACTGAGGCACTCTCTCTGTTGAAGGAAGCGCCCAACCTCCCCTGCTTGCCACTCCATTCTGAGCATTGCTTCCATCTCCTAGCACATAGATACAAAAGATAGAAATCTGGTGTCAATACACTCGTATTGAGACAGACATGGACAAAATGCATATTCCATTATGGTGTTATATAGCTTGCAGGAGGCAAAAGCACAACACGATGTTCTGGATCATAAACCACTATATCATCAATTCCATGTGACACCATGTATTCAAGTTCACACCCCCAAATAAAAAAGAACACAGAGTACAAATATTGTAAAGGCAAGGAGAAAAAATTACTCCATGATTTAATACACTCACCAATAGCACCGTTGGCATTCAACCCCTCGCTCCAACTAGGAAGATGCATTTTAGCTTTCCCCTTCCAATCTTCCTCAAAACTTGAGAGTTCATCTAGATGGTTAATTTTCAAGTTAGAATCTCATGAATCATTTGGATACCAAAAGAGACCAAGGAAAAACTGACAGACATATACCTTCATTAAGGTTGTGCAAAGTTTGCATTGTATCCACTCTACCATCTGGATTCAGTTTCCGCATGACAGAATGACCCTATATTCATACATTGTTTTAATCTATCAGATTCTACAGGCATCACATCTGCATTTATACAGGAAAGTATTAAAAGTGCCCAAGGTCAAAAACACACCTTATCATGGATCCCCCTTGAAATCTTATGGCGTGCTTGACCAGTTGCTGAATTAGCTTCTTTACTTTCTTCAAATGCCAACTATAAATCCGTACAACCAAAGTAGGGAATCAAATAAAGTACAAAAAAAAAAGTATTCAGAATAAACTTAAGTATTTAAAGCCTAATAGATTTACATACTCCATCACTCCCTGTCCTCCTGGTTCTAGATGAAGTATAATATGCACCATTAGCCCCGCCATAGGTAACAGTTGAACTCTGGAATGTGAAACTTTGTCCCTGGGGCTGTGGTTGAAAATGTTGCATCTGCCTCTGCCCAAACTCATTCCCATAGTGAATATGCTTCCTCCTCCGCTCTATCATAATATAATAATACAATAAGAACCCATCATGGACTCCACAAGGAAACAAAATAGAGAATTGGAGGAAAGAGAGAAGAGGAGAAAAACGAAAATATAGAAAAATACTAGCAACCTTCAGATTCATCATCTGGGTCCTCAACAAAAGGCTCTTCACTCAATCTTCCATGCTTTCTTGGATTTCCTTCCATAGTGGTTCTTTCCTTCTCTTCGGTTTCATCATCAGAATTTAATTCTTCAATTATAGGCCCCCGAGATGCAGTGCGTTGCGGGAGCTGCTGCTGTTCAAGGAATCCAGTTGGACGTGAGTCCATAAATTGACTTCCATTAGGCCCAAAAATCCCTGAATTAGGAAATCCAGCTACACGAGAGCCCATAAATTGACTTCCATTAGGCCCAAAAATCCCTGGATTAGGAAATCCAGGTAGATTTGGGCCCACATTCGGACCAAAAAAGCTCGACTCAAACAAGCCCCCAAATGGTTGTGTGAAGAATGGGTCATCAAAAGGATCTCTCCCGCCAAAAAAGCTTGACATTAAACTTCTATGATCTCCAAAACTACCAAAAGGGTTACCAAAGCCAAAGAAAGGATCTCTTCCTCCCTCCATTTCACCTTTGATCAATCTGAAAAGTTAGTAGGTGCCATCAATCATTGACGTGAAGTTTAATAATCTGAAAGCACAAAAAGGTGCAAAAAATAAATAAAGCACATCAACATAGCATCAAAGGATGTAGGTAAACAGAATACCACTAAGTACTCAATGAAACTGATTATACAAGTACTAAAAAAGAAAGAAAACAAGATCACACCACAATTAATACAAAGACACATACTACTCCAAAACAAGCATATGATTACTAAAAAAATCATACAAAGACACTTATTTCTTTAAATGCACTCATTAAAATTCACTACGAGGTAATAATCATTGGCCTCGACATGGTTGTAGAAGGTGGTAGGTGCCTACTGTTAGAGTAAAGGGCCGAGAACAGAAAGGTAAGGAGAGAAAAAGTCAATCTGGAATTTCAGATTTCAAAAAGAAAGAAAAGAAAACAAGGGACCAAAAATTTCCCTCCGGCAAGAAGATATCTTGGCCAACTGCTAGAGCTTTCTTACTGCCTAGGAGAAGGTCTTCATTTATACCCTATTACAAGGTTTAAATTTTAATTGTAGAAATTAAGCAACAATCATGTTAAATAATAATTGCAGATTTTCCTTGAAATATGCCTTAATTGTAACTGCTGCATGATTTGGGGTTGATTGATTAATTGTTACCATCCTTGTTCTGACTTTCCTTCTTCTTTCGTGGGTACACTATCCACTTATTAGTGTCTTTATCACCTACACTGCCTATATATACACACACATACACACACACGCACACATATTTTGCTTTCATTTAAAGATCAATTAATTATTATTATAATTAATAAATTCTTTTACTTAAACAATAAGTAACTAAAGTAGTAAAGCCCTAGGCCCCAAATCGCAAAGTAAAAATGAAAAACGAACTTGGCAAACTCTAAGTCTGCCTCTTCGGTCTCCACACCACACCCGACGAACACACCACACCCGGCGAACAGCGAGCTCTGAGCATCGAACAGCCAATGTCTAGCGGCAACTGCAAGCGGGAGTCGATGACTAGACTATGGCGTGCTACTGCGCATCTGCAATGACCATTGTCTGTCAATGGGATGGCTTCAACAACGATGCGACGATCAGCGATGGACGATGAGTGCCATGGGCAATGTTGAAAAAATCGCTAGGCGCCGATTAATCGACGCCTAGGCGCGATTTTTGCAACACTGGCCATGGGTGGTGACTTCTCCGCTCAGCTAGCTCAGGTTTCTCCATTTCTCTGCTCTACTTGGCAATTTGGGGCTTAGATTTTGATTTCTGCTGTGTGTTGTTTGCCCTAGCAATTTTAGCTATGTTTCGCTCAAAACGAGCGAAGCGAAGCAAAGCTAAGGAAAGAACTCACCTGAGTAGCCGCCTAGGACAACTAAACGGCCAATTAAATAGGCAACTATAGCCTTATGCATCTTGACCTATGGGCGCCTAGCACCTAGTCAACACCTAAGCCGAATTTTGCCACATTTAGCCTCAACAAGGGTTCATACAACATCCAGTCCTGTATGAACTAACCACAAACCGATGTATAATTAACTTTTTAAGACAGCTTATCCTCTGTGACTAATCACCAATTGACAGACCAATAACTTCCAAGATAATCATTCCACCACATACCCTTCAACTAGATCTAGACTACTCAATTTGTGCTCCCCAATCTTTCAAATGAATGCACCTTAACAAACCCCATAGCACCTGCATCAATTTACTTACTTATCCTACTTCCACAATCCTAAAACTCTACCAGCCCTGAAATTATAGTGTGCTCCACTAGCTGCAACAATGTTTCGCAACATAAACATGCAACCATGCATCTACACAACATACAACGATCCAGAACCCAAAATTTACGATCAGCTAACCAGTTAAGCTCGATCAATTTTCCTTAAGCATTCTCGATCCTTCAAAATCGATCAACACAAACCAAACATCATCTATTCCCATAACAAAAACGCTAGGAATTATTTCATAACCCTCCGGTACCTTGATACATCCAAAATTTAATAGAACGGGACAAAAATCCATACACGCATGTGACTCAGGCAATAAAGCAAAATAAAACCAGTAATCTACGATCTCGTACCAACAATAATACAGAAATTATGGAATGCAAATAGGCCACAGGAAATTAAGGAAACTGAAAATTAAGACGCAACAAAATATTAATAAAAGTAAAGCTAGAAGAGAACAAAGTAGATACCTGTCCTGTCGACGAGAGAGTGAAAAGGGAAGCTCAGCAATGGAGAAAACTTGAAGCCTTAGTTAGCGAAGAGTTACGGATTGCCGACTTTATGCAGGGAACTTTCTAGTACAATGTAGTCTATGGCGGTTCAGTACGCATGCGGGCACGTCCATTCCTATATATATGGGCTGGGCTTTGTATTGGGCTTCTGAGAATTCAAACTATGACTAAGTTGGGCTTTTAGATAGGATATATTAGTCTTTTCTAGGCTGATTTTCGTGTGGATTGAACCCATCAGATTTGAATTTGGGCTTTTTATCAACAATTTGTTTCCAATTTAAATCAACTCACTCTCTCCGCAAATTATTATGTGGACCCTAGTCCACATAGTACTATGTGAATCATTAAAAAATATATATTATTTGTATACTGAATTTACCTTATACAAAATAATGTATATTTAGTTAAAACGATGAAAACAATTGACCTTATTTAGTTAAATCGTACCAAATTTTACTATAGTTTTTGGGTGCTTGGTACATAAACATTATGAGAGCTGAAACATGTAAAAGATAATGCTAGACCTAACTAGTATACTTTCATAATTGGATATCTTACATCTACCCCACAAAGCAAAAGAAAGCACATAATCATTCATCAACCAAACATTGCAATATAAAGTTATTCCATTATACTAATTAATGCTCTCTATGTGTGTATGTACATCAGCATATGCATATATAATAGTATTATATTTTTGAATGACTAGAGGAATTTGTTGCTATAATTCGAGGGTATATATTGAGTAAACTGACTCTTGTGTAATAGCTCATAAAATATCATAAAAGATAGATCGCATTAAAAATATCATGTCCAATTAGTTTGACCGAAAAGGTATTGACAAAAATTGAACTCATGACTTTACGAGAATTATGCTCCTCTCATTCAACTATCACATTTCAAGGCAGCTATAGGCCCCCACTAGAGGACAAACCTAGACCACAAAATCATTGACACCATCATAGTATTTGATATGAGTTCTACTACATGTATTTCCTAATCTTACTTTCTAAATTTTACTCCTTGATGCGACGAGTTCTGATAAATTATTTTTTATGTGGATCCCAATACAAATATTTACATCAAAAATTTTATGTGTGAAAATATAAGTTAGAAGTACAAAATTAGAGTACACTTAGCCTTTTCCATTTGATATACTCCGTAACTCACTATACTTACCAATTATATGTATAAATAAAAAGAATGAAAAGGGATGGCGTAAGTAATAAGAAATAACAGGGTGACAGCTGGTAGAGAATCTAAGACATGAATGACATGACATCACCATTAACGGGGGACTATTTCGTCAGACGTTGACATTTGACCCAAAAGATCCAATCCCATCAATCCTCTTCCGTCCGGACAGTTAGTCCGTTAATTAAACGGAGTTTTTCATTCTCCGTCAACATACATGCATGCATACTACGGAGTGTGATAAATCAAAATAATGCGCCCAAAATCTTATAATTAATTACTAGAGTAATCTTTATTATAAATTACTTTTATACATTTCCAAGATGTAAGTCATATTAGCCGAGCTGGTCAAGTAATTAGTTTGATAATCATAATGTGAAAGTTGATTATTAACCTTCATGGTTTGAGTTAATGTTCTAATTACCGTTGACTATATACATGTAAAAAAAATCTTATTCTTACCAATTGTTAATCTATAAGACTATAACACAAATATATATATCTAAAACCCAACAAGAATCGTTAGTTATGTTATTATAGAAAAATACTATTTTCTTCTTTTAAAATTACTCTCTCGCATGACACTACTCTACTCATGAATCTTTAAAAAGAAAAAAATCCTTTTTTTTTATGGACTAACCATAAATTGATGAATTCAAACATGAATTATTTAATAACGTAATAATTAAATATAAATGTTTTTTAATAAAATATTGCATATATATGTACTAGATTTGGTCAAAGTAGGTGTAACAGGATTACTAGACTACAAGAAAATAAAGTAAATGGTAGCTCCTCAACTTGGCATGAAATACATATATATATAAACACACAATGACAAAAAAGGACAAGTAATATATACATACACCATGTGGTGTGGTGAATGTAGACTGGAATTTTGTATTGTATGATGACTAGATGATGATTGGAGGTGTTATTACATTTAATTTGTATTACCATTGAAATAAACATATACTGTATTATTATTATTATTATTATTATTATTATTATTATTATTATTATTATTTGTTATTATTTCTAAAAAAGAAATATATTAAAAAAAACATGCATACTTAATTGATGTTAATTGACATATGGTCCCAATTCTCAGCACATGTGACCCTAGGCTATAACTATCTACTTGTAACCTATTTTACTTTTGGGTGGTGATAAAAACTCGCAATCATTGTATGAAAGTGTACATTGGGTAAAGTTCACAAAACGCTCTAGAAAAATTGTGTGTGTAATAACTTAGCTTGTAAATCGCACTAAAAAAACTCTGTGTATCAAGTTCAACCAAAGGAGTGTTACGTTGACAATAATTAATCAAACTCATTACCTTCAATTGATCTGGTGCGAGAATCGTACCGTGTTTCATCCACTCTACGTCTCTACCGGGCTACCCCTTTTACCACCCTTTTAGGACAAATTAAAAATTGGTAATAAGTTGTAACCTATTTCTTGTTCTAGGAAAAATTATATGAAATTTTATTTGAAAATTCCAATAAGTTTTATGCAAATCAAGAATAAAGAACCAACATAAAGAGAGATGCCATTGAATATGAAGGAGTAGCAAAAGTGGTAGGAGTGGTCCCAATTCTCACAAGCATATAACAATAGGTGTAGTACCTACATGTGAAACATAACCCACACATATCTATATTGATGAAAAAAATTAGATTTTTTTTTATAAAGGGACAAACCCGAAAATTAAGGATTGAATAGTAATAACGCAATAAATAAGAAAATATATTTTTTTAATCAAGAAGGGAAGAGGGGGACCCCAAGAAACTACATCAGATCATCTACCGTTTATAGTCACCACTCTTCTCGAATGCTCCCTATTTTGTCTTTCTAAAGCAACGGATATAGAGACACCAGACAATTATATAATTTATTGCTATGAGAATGTTGTATGCATCACCATGGGACAAGACCAATATATGTGTGTACAATGTATGTATTTCCCCCTATTCAAACATGTTGTTTTACTATATTCAACTATATCCTTCATTGTTTTATTTTTAGCAAAAAAAAATTATATGAATCACGTTAATGATATAATTTAGTTGAATTGGTGAACCCCCAATCATATTTTAAACTTAAATCGGTGTGCTTGTCAAGGTGATTAGCAAAGCAGTGTGATTACGGATTAATTAATGTAATGAGAAGAATATTTTAAGGTTAATTACCCAATTAAGGTGGGATAGAGAATGGAAGAAGAAGACAGTGTGGTAGAGGGGAAATGATAAAAAGGAGAAGATTTGAGAGGAGCCTTGGGAGGGGAGAAGATTCCCTGGTAGAAAGATGGTAACGTTGTCGTCCTACGTTAATCATTATTATTATTGTTATTATTATACATCTTTAATTCTAGGCCATATAAGTAGTATTTAGTTTGGTGAGCAGTCACTGTGTGATTAAACTCTTTTTATAAATAAGGTTAAAGTATAACTAATCCCCTGCCGACAGGAATTTCTGTCCCTCCACTTAATCACATATTAGATGGCCCAATCACATTATTATTGTTAAAAAGAAAAAAAAAATTATCTTGAAGTGCCATTGATACTCTATAGTTCTTTTTAGTTGGTAGCTACATAGATAACCAAATTACTAATGTTGTTCTCAAAAGTTGAATCTTCAATCTTAAAGACTTTTCACATCTCGACCTGACTGAGTATTTGTGAGGACAGAGGATGTAAATCATGGTAACTCAGCTGAACACAGATGCTAGATCTTTACTTACTGAGAGGTTGCTCCAAGACTGCCGCTAGTGAGACTCTGTTTCAATAAATCAAGTTCCTTTCACTCGATCACTCAGGTCCTAAGTTACCGTCTTACCGACAATATGTATTTAATACAAGAATGACAAATGCCCATCATCACCATATAGAAATTGATAAATTCATGGTGTGTTGCACAAAATTATTAAGCCTTAAAGATAGGGGACCATTCTAAAACTGCTAGGGTGATGGGAGTGTGATTCTTGAAATGTTTTTGCTGATAAAGGGAATGGAATGGGTGAAACAAACAGTACAAGAAACCATGCAAGCTGGTTTTCCTTTCTTGGAAGGAAAATAATACCCATTTTCACTACATTGTACCATCCTTTTACAAAACTAAGATAAAAAAACATTTCCACCATTATTGTTTGCAGTGGTGAAAAATGGCAGCAACCACTTTTACCCATCTTTTTTACCATGAAAAAAGTTGTAAAGGAGTCTTCTTTTTTACTTCTACTGCTACCACCATGCCTCCTCCCTCCCTCTGTATAAAAGAACAAAGACACATTATAAGGGAATTTCAAGAAGGCCATCTTTTCTTTGTGCTGTGGAGCTTTCAAAGAACAGATTCTTTCAAGGATAAGATTTTGGATGCTGCATAAAATTTTTGTGTTTTTTTTTTTAATTATTTGGGTTTTGGCTCTGATACCAAATTGAAGCATGTTCTCCATCTCAACTAAAAGCCTAAGCTTATAGTTGGATTGCACATTAATGGCTATATGCTCAACATCCAGCATCATTGAACATCGATTTACTTACTGTTCCTAGTAGCGAAAACGCAACTTTATTTCCTTATATACCGCCACATTTTCGAGAGGCAGGGTGCTGGACTGGGCCATTCAGGCCTCTGCCCAACGCTTAGGAATCTGAATTCGAAGTGAATACAGTAACAAGGATTAAAATCGGCACGGGGGAATAAACTTTACAGCAATGATTGAGGGATAAAACGAGGGTGAAACGATATAAATGTTACCTGGTAATGATGGATTTCCACTTCTCAAAGCTATCTGCAGGAATGAGCAAACATTAGTCAATATGTGTTGCCAAATCGCTATCGAGCATCTTTTGTGTTGGTTCATACCGACAGTGTTGTTTCACTTTGGGTCCTCTCGACCCTTTTTCGCAATCATGGGAAGCATCATCCGGTGGACTCTGCATGTAAGCATAAGATTGTTTTAACTTAATGCCTCTTTACTCTTTCCATAACAACCAAAATTTCGAAAAAAAAAAAAGACTTATCCTACTAGCTCCCGTGGTGGGACGCCACTGCCTCAAAGACACATATACAAGAAAGAATAGGAATGGGATATTAGCAGTTGTGAAGTGCTCTTCCAGCTATAAAGATTTGGTTAAATCCCGGGATAGCCAAACCTAGTTTGCCGAGTTTTTACACCAACTATGCATTTCGTGGTGCTTCAACAACGTCTTTCTTGGCTGCTTCTGCATAGAGAGGAAACGGGATTAGTATCATATCAAAAGACTCTTCGGTTGAACAAATATCAATTTGTAAAATTGAAGTATGTGCTCCATCTCAACTAAAAACTTAAGCTGATAGTTGGATTACACATTAATGGTTATATTTTATCACACGTAAAACCGAGAAATGATCAAATGAACAGGAAAAGAGAGACCGACCATCTCTAGTTGCAAGAAACGCATCCAATACCTCATCTCGACTGTCGTAGTTTCGGGTGTCTCGTTGATTGAATCGTGATGACACGTGCATTTCAACGCCAACGTTTAAGCTAATGTAACCGTAAAGTCAAGGAAGCTCTACAGCACCTGAACACGGAAATTTGGAGCCAGCGTAATCTCGAATAGAAGTTCGGTAATCTTGTAGGCATTAAAGCACAGATTTTTCATATAAACTTCAAATGAATCAACAGAGCTCAGATAGAGACAGATATCGTAATGTTCTTAACATTGGACAAACATTTGACTTAATGCTTGTTAGTTTGGCAATGAAAAAGGGAAACAAAAAAGCCTTCCCTATCAACATATATCATCGATTCGAGAGTCGAGACAACTAGTGAAAAATTCCATTGCTTTTAGATTTACATGCAAAAGCTGCTCGATCCACAGAAATTCTAAGGAGTACTCGACCCTCTCGAGCCAACTAACCTAAGTTCTTGTTAAGACGAACAAAGAAATGCCGCATTGTGGAAAAAGAATTTCATTTCTGCGGGAAAAATCCCTACAAATTTAGAGTGCTTACAGAGAGGATGTATCGACAAAAACCTCATTGAGCACATCATCCTCACCGTTTGCCAGGGCAAAGAGCTCCGCATCTTTGTCTTCATCATTGGAATAGTCCCGTTTTTCGAGCTTCGAGTGAGCAGCTATGAATATCAACTTCTGGGCTCGGTCCACACCCGCCCTCGAATGGGATTGGGCACCCGCCCATCTCGGGAAAGACCAGTTGCATTTAAACCCGCACGAGGTAGCGTGAAGGAAGATAAGCCTAACAGCAACTTTGCCTAACGACTTGAACCCCGTGAGGTACGTTTCCCAAACGAGCCTACTACTCTGTGGGTTCGCGATTTTCATCTTCCCCGTGCTAGGATCCCTCTGCTTCAACTGAACAGCTTGAGCATAAACCGGCTCGAGCCCTTCGGTTCTCCATTTCATAAGCTCCATCAAGGCAATATGAGCCTCGTCACGAGATACGAGCCGTGTTATGAGCTTGTCCACGTCCTTTTCTTGCTCGGGGGTCAGGTATTTGAACGGGGGCAAGTACTTCCCACTCGTGTCTCGAATCAAATAGAGCGGATCGAGTATAAATGCAGCAGCCCAAGCCGGGTGATAATTCTTCTCGAACCTCCTTTCGACCAATTTCTCTACCGGTCCCTCGGCAATGTGAAACTTAGAACACCAATCCTTCACTTTCACTCTAAGCTCCTCCCACAATGGAAGGCATTGCCCCACTCGGGGTTTCTCCGTCTCGATATCCCGTGCCATCGTCTTGATCAATTTAACTAACGAATGCATCGCCTCCAACTCATTCCAGAAACGCGGGCTTCTCATCATCTCTTCAATCTCCCTTGCAAATGGCTCCTCCACTGAAGCTACCTTATACGATTCATCCAGCAACACTAGCTGAAGTGCCCGAGCTGAGCTAAGAATATCCTCGATCAACGAATAAACAGGTCCAAAATCTGAGCTTTCATAGCCGGGCAAGGGCACCCTCAACAACCCAGCATGCCCATACTCCTGCAACTGATACTTGTGGAAGCTATTCCGAATCTGGGACTTATTGTTCACGAAATTCGCAAGCTTTATACAATTCTCGGTCACGTTCTTGAAAAAAGGAAGCTCCTTGACGAAATCCTTAATCAAACTATTGAATGCTTGATGCTGACAAGAAAGATTGACCATCCAATGGTGCTGATTCTCTAGATTCCTCAATGCCTTGCCCTTAAACTTGTCTGCAACTATGCCTACACATTGTTGAACAGTGTTGCCACAAATGTCTGTGATGGTGTCCCATAAAACATCCTCTGCATACTTAGAAGGCACAAATCCACTAGTGAAAACTGTCCTCCTAAACACACTGGTTCCATTGGGAAGATTCACATATAAACTCACTAGATTCTCTTCCCCAACATGCCCGTGCTTCTTTGCCATCCAACCATCAGCTGCAACCTGGAAGAACATGGCGTCTCGGATTTTCGCCTCGGACTCAACCTTGGCTTCCTCGTACTTGGCATCTAACCTGGGACCTGCTAACTCTTTTCTTGAAATTGGGGGCAATCCAACTTGGTTGAGAAATGCCCTGAATTTTGGGTGGTCAAGACTGGAAAAGGAGACCGACCCACAACATTCATACACCCAATCTGCGAGATAATCGAATGATGAATCAATCTGGGACTTGCTCAAAGTTGGTCCCGGCGATGATTTCGGACTCTTTAGCTTCTTCACACTATCTTCTAACTTGGCCAGAGCTCCCAAATCCTCCTTTCCACCTGACAACACCATATGCTGCTGCCCATACATGCCGCCGCCGCCGCCGGAGGCGGCGGCACCGCCACCACCGGTGGTAACAATAGCGGTGGCCATTGACACCACCGGGGGGTAAGCTAACTCCACGGCGAATCTCGATGGATCAACAATAGCAAGCGGGGTGACTTGATATGGCGCAGTAGAAGCCGGGCTGCCACTATCGGCCCGGCCACCGCCGGGAGAGTTCCGCTTCCGGTGATTCTGTTGGTGGGGCGACGAAACCGTGGGCGACGTCACGCTGACGGGCGGCGACGGCGGCGGCAGAGACGAAATGGGTTTGACGAGGGTGTTGAAATTGGGGCAAGTTCCTCTCTTTAGATGCTCGGAGGCGGTTCTGGAAGGGTTGGACGCCGAGAACACGGCGTCGCATAATGAACACCGGAGCTTAACAGCTTTGGGCAACCCCGTATCAGAATTGTGGACCAGCATGGGCTCAAAGTGAGCCCAGTACCACGCCCCTTTCCCCTTCACCGCTTTCGTCCGTACCATCACCAATCCCTCGTATCTCTTCAGCACCGCCTTCGCCGCCATCTCCTCCGTCAACCCGCCGCCGCCGCCGGTCCCCGCCTCCACCAGCGCCGCCGTGTTGCTATTCGCCTCCGCCATATATAACTCCCAAAAAAAAAAAAAAACTCCAACAAAATCAATAATTAACGCACGGTAGCAATCTGGGCAAGTGATTTTCAGCCCGGAAATGTTGGCGGTGGACGGCGGTGGTCCATGGAGGTGAGAAAAAATATAAAAAAATAAAAAATAAAAATAAAAGCTTTGATGGTAAGTGGTCCTCGGCCTCAGTAAGTAGTAGTGGGGTGAGCTGTTTTTTCAAGATTTCGGCAGTGTCTGTGTAGGAAATTTCGCAATGCAACGACACAGTCTCGAGAGAGAGTGGGTGAATAAATTTCTAGAGAGAGAAAAGGCGTGGAGAGAGAAAAGGAACGATGGAGTTCTTCAAGACTGGAGCTTTAGAGAGAGAGAGAGGGAGGAAGAATGATGAGCGGCTGCTAAACGTCCTGACAGAAACATTAACGTTCGACACGCCGTTAACTGTTTCATAAGAGGCCGTTTGCTGTTTGTTTGTTCAGAAGCTTCTGCTCCCCTCCGTCACAATTTTCTTCTTCGCCTCTCTACCGTTCTTTTAGGTATTAACCTGATCAATTCTAAGAATGGTAATTTTGTTAATTGATTTTCCATATAAATAAAATTCACCAAAATACTATTTTGTCACTTACCTTATATTTGCTTTATTACAAATTTTTTTCCTTTTTTAACTACAAAATTATTATTTTTTAACCTTCTCCTTCCAAAGGTTAAATTTCCCGTCCCAAAATAATATATATAGAAAATTATACTTTATATCCATTCATAATATGTCAATTATTAATGTCACTTTTAAATTATTTGTAGTGTAAATGTTGCTCCTCAATTTTTAAAACGGTACATATATTACCCCTGCCGTACAGTATGAGAGGAGCAACATTTACACTATGACAGGACAATATATATACCGTTTTGAAAAATAAGAAACAACATTTACACTACTAATAATTCAAGAATGCTATTGATAATTGGCATATTAGGGAGATGCATAAATTACAATTTTTTCTAATATATATATATATACCTAAACAACATATATTATTGAAATAGTAATTCTTTGTGCAACTGTATTCATATTACAACTTGACCACTGTCATATCATGTGTGGACTAAGGCTTAATAGTTTCAAACTGAGATGCAAAAATTAAATCTGAACTTGCCATCTTGCCAAGTTGCCATTAATGGTGAAAAAAGTGTCTTTTAGGTTGTGTTTGAAAACTAAAAGGGACCAAGGGGAAAAAACATATTCCTAATTAAGGTGATTTGAATAGACCTTATAATTTATAATATAACACCAAACTAGATATGAAAATAATAGAGTAGTCTAGATATGAAAATAATATGATAGTGTTTAGTCTTAACGTGTTTTCAGTTATTAAAATGGTGGACAAGTTAAAAATTGTGTTTTAACAGGTCAAACTGCTTACTCCGTTAATATTACCATTAGTTATGATTTTTATATATTATTATTTTTTTATCATTATAGTGTGTTATGAATTAAATATCTTTAATATTTTGTAGATTTAATAAAAGAAATTTTTTTTTTTTTTGTAAAGTTTTATTTTAAAATAATTATATTAACATGGATTTTAAATCAGTAATCGTATTGTGCAGACCCAAACTTGTTGACTAAATGTGTTTATCATGTCAATATGTTTAATTCGTTTAAAAATCATGTTCATATTTGTATTTAAGAATTTAATTCGTTAATTTTAACGGGTCATGTATGTGTTTAGTATTATCGTGTCAACGCATTTACACAAATTGACATGTCTAAAACTGAAGAATCGAAAAAATTACAAAATTGTAATACTCCATATTATTTCCTAAAAATATATCACGTTTCTATAAAAGAGGACACACATCATAATTCACATTTTCTTTTAGGGGAGCAAAGAACAAGAAATGCATAATTAATAGAATAATGGCATTTTATTATCATATTAGCAAAGATTATTTCAAAATATATATATATATATATATATATATATATATATATATATACACACATATATATATCATATTAGCAAAGATAATCTTTCCCTAAGTGGAAGTAAATCTCACGCGGTGTGGGGGAGGCTTTGGGATTTCGTTGTTTTTTATTTTCTTCTTTAAAACAAAAAATTTTGTCTATTTATTTATTTATTATTCTTTTTTTTTTTTTTATTTGCTTAGGGTCTTTGTTATGGGGCCCCATTGAGTCCTTTTTTGTTGTGTTGTTTGTATTATTGTATCTTTCTTTCCATTTCACAAACAAAATAATTTTAACACATCTTATAAATTTTGATTCACCCCACCTAATTAACATTCGAAATATCGTATTCGATTAAAATGAAACACATTTTTCAATTTGATATTATATTAGAGTCATTTCAATGAGCATAAGGTCATTGATTTGAATGTACACATGAGAAGACGTATACTTTTTATAGAGATAGACCATATCATTTACACATTGATATTATTCAATTTGTAAGTTAACAAAAAACATATTTGTTATTCTATATTATTGTTAACATATTTGTATATAAAATATAAATTATTTGAAATCCATTTATGGTACAATGCATGTTAGATGTAAATAATCTAATAATACTGAACAATAATCTACGAGAAACCTAATGACCTTGTAGTAGCGGAAGCGGAAGCAGTGTTGATCTACAGCCACAGTTGATGCCTTATTTTTTGCCTCTTAAACAAATCATAGATAGTGTATTGGTGTCTATTGAGCAATAGGAGTACCGTAACTGAATGTGTTATATAATGAATGTCATGCATCCCATCAATCAAAGTTCATATTAGACACAGAATTTGGTTCACTACCAATTTATAGTTATCCCGTCCAACCAAATTATTTAGTAAACTTAGTCAATTTGTACCATTTAATTAAAGTTTTAATATTATATATATTATTTGGAAAAATCTTAGAATGCATACGTGAAGTTGGATGGATGTTACAATCATAACACAACATTATCATCAATCGACACACGAGAAACCATAATTGTGGCAAATGAATTGAAGCAGTTCTGCCATCCTGCTTGCTTCACTTTTTTACAGTTTTACATGATAGTTACACTTTTTACGATGAATACTATTATTAAAAGAAATTAAATTATAAATAATTTGACTCAAACATATGACACGGTGAGTATTATTATATACTCCGTAAAACTTTTAGAGGGTGTGACAACCAACATAACTGGTTTACTGAAAGGCTATAGGTGTGTTTAGTAAATAACTGTTAGTTAATAGTTACTAGCTGATTGAGTTAGTAGATTTATTTAATTAGTTGATAACATTAGTTTATTGTAAGAAACTGTTTGGTGAATTAGCTGTTAGTTGATAATTGATTATATGTAAAATAATTTTGTCAATAAATTGATCAAAAAGTTACTTTAAACAGCTTTTTGAATTTTAACATTTTGGAGCAGTTACAAAAAAAAAAAAAAAAAAAAAAAAAAAAAAAAAAACTAATTAATCAAACACTCATATTGATTATTTAACTAAGTCAAACAACTAATAGCGATTAAATAAATCAAAATTGACGAATAAACTAATTATATTACCAAATATGGTCTAAGACAAGCTAACCTAGTATTGTGACAAGTGTATGTCGGTCTAGCATGGGTTGCCCATTGCAAGTGGGCATGGTAGTTAGGTAATATAATTTAACCACTCTTAATTAATCGAGTACATATATAATTGTATCGAGTATAATTGATATTTGTGTAGATCGACACTATTAAAAAAATTTAAAGAAAATATAGAAATTGTATCAAGTATAATTGACATTTGTATAGATGGACACTATTAAAAAAATTAAAGAAAATATTGTGAATTGAATGAGCCAATGAGGGAAAGGAAACATGAGAAATCTGAAAATTGTTGCTGGGATCGAGACAACTATAAATAATTTGAGGGCATTCACTTCCATCTGTATATCACTTTCATCTTATTTGATTTGGAGGGTCTTAATTGTCAATGCAATCCCACCAAAACCCCAAAATAATGTAATACGGAGCATATGGTGTGTTTATTTTTGATCACAACACGCAAGATGTTCTGTCCTAACTATAAGAGGCATCTATAAGTTTACTGGGCATATTGATTTTTTCATACGAGAAGGAGTTCGGTCACTCACGCCAACCAAACTGTTTACGGAGCATATGATTAATTGTATATTAATAAGTTTCAATTATGAACAAAGTTGCTTATTGCTTATGCTTCAGAAATGGATGGATGAGAGTTAGGCATACAATGTATGTGGAGCAAGTTGAGAAATTTTCACATTATTATTGGTGAAAGTCCAACCATTTTTTAGAGAAATTAATAATGATGTTGCCAAGGTAGACCATTGAAGGACATAACATAAGCTAAAGTATCTTTATACTAGGAAGATAATAATGTTAGTTTGAAATTTATGCCACAAAAGATGAGGTAATAATAAATAAAGGAGTTAACTTGTAGACAACTTGTATGTTAGTGTTTGTCTACCTTACAGTGTAGACATTGGTCTACGGTGTAATGAGTCAATCATTATATCATGAACTATGATACACCTTGTAAGATGGATCACTGACATAAAATACCTTTTTGTTAAATTAATTATAAATGTATATTTTTAATACATTAAAGTATCTTTTTTAAAGTACATTATTTACTGCTAAATAATATATATTTAGTATATTAAAAATATACATTTATTTATAGTTTACGTGGTAATATGAATCATGATTCACAATATTAATTTGCTTAGTGAGTAGTGACCGTAGTCCGTACAAAACAAAACGATGCGTTATGGGCCTTCCATCAATGGTGGCCCACTTTATGGACCCAAAAAGTCAAAACAAAATGAAATTGGATAGTAGAAAAACCCTCACCGTGGGGCTACAACCCAACAAACGAACCAACATTCAATTGAGCTAAGATTTAATCCATTGAATCTTAATATTAAAACATAAAAAGATAATAAATGACACTCTTTAGTTTAGATGGTAGAAGTTTCACATGTCACAAATTTTAATTAGTCATTGTCAAATTAAAAGCTCTTTTATTATATGACTAGTCAATCACAACACGTCACGTCGTCACGTCATGCAAGATTTTTACTCAAAATAACTGTAGTATTACGTATTACATATGAAATAAAGCACGAAGCACATGAATAAATTAAATATCCATACAATGAGCTGAGATTTATACAATTTTTTTTTTTTTTTTGATGAAAATAGAAACACGGTTTATGACCCCTATGCAAGAGTATGAACTAAGTAAACTCTCATGTTTAATATATTCAATCGAGAGGATATTAATAAGAATCAAACTGATACAAGAATCATGTTTCACCCATTCAATCATTTATTTTTTAATGATATATGTAGTGGCATTATATTAGGTTGTTTGTGAATACAAAATGTGGGGGACAATAGCCGACTTAATCTCTCCTTATTCCCCAGTAACGAAACAAACGGCCCCTGAAGACATGAAACACGACAAGCATTGCAGTTTCCACGAACTTTCTCGCGCAAAAATGAAACTACTAAACACCGCACGTATACGTACTTTTGTTCCCCAGATTCTATGGTTTAATTTTATGATGGTAGCTATGATGATTAGGACGGCGACGGCGACGCCTTCATTGCCGGCAAAACATCAGGCAGTAGCCGCCATGCACGGCGGAAGACCTGTTTGCAGCTGCGACCACACCAACTCGGAAATGGTATGGAAGCACGTACGACACGGCGGAGTCATGGATGCTCCGGCGGCCAGTAGTAGTTATGGTGGTGGTGAGAGGGCGGCACAGAAGCTGACAAAGCTGTTGCTGAATGTGAGTATTCAGAACAGTCTGGGGCCGCTGAGAGTGGTGCTTTCGCCGGAAAACACCGTCGGGGATTTGATCAAGGCGGCTGTCGAGATGTACGTTAAGGAGAAGCGGCGGCCGTTGCTGCCCGCCACCCATCCTAGCCATTACGAGCTTCATTACTCCCAGTTTAGCCTCCAAAGTAAGTTAATTGTAATTATGATATACTGATTTTGAGAATTAAACTTGAAATCTTATAGGTATCAAATTAATATATTTATTGTGAATTTTTTTTGTTATATTAAAATAATAATAATTGAATATGATGGGGATTTGTGGTTTGTTGGTTGCAGGCTTGAGAGAAGAAGAAAAGTTGATAAAGTTGGAGTCAAGAAATTTTTTTCTATGTCCAAAATTAAATGGTGTGGCCAATACAACATGCTCCATTGGTACAAGGGGAGCAAGTGCAACTAAAAAGTCACTATTTCCATTGACAAAATTCATGGATTTCTTGCTATAAGTTTGTAAATTTTAAATATTTATATGGTTTTATTTTGTTGGTCTCTACCTACTTTTGATAATATATCTTGATTTTATTTTTATTTTAGTTTTATATTGCTTTTGAATTTATAAAGTTAAAATTAGAATCGTATTTGGATGTTTCTTCTAACTCTATAATATCTTGTAAAATTTATCACGTCAATGATTTTGTCATAATTAACTACCAGCTAACGATTCGCGTAGCCTCATGCTCCAATTGGCTACCACATGGGTCACATACTCTCGGTAATTGGTCAATTGCATGCCCTAGCCAATTGAGTGCTCTTATAGTCCTATGACTGCCACTCGACTACCTTGATGAGTGTACATTCAGTTAATACAATTAACCGTTTGTGTACATGTAAACAAATAACTTGATAATTGCTGGCACATAATATGATAGCTATAGGTACCAAAACTATCAACTGCAGGTACAGAATGTGACTTGATAATTATTGACACATAATATGATAGTTTTAGGTACAGAAACTATCAACCGCAGATACAAAATGCGTCAACTATAAATACAGAATTTGAAAATTATTTTTGAATCAAGATCTGCAATGTAAGATAAACCATAGTCCATAATATAATTTGCCCTCATTAGGTACTCAACTAACCCATTGTCCTAACCTTAACTAGTCCTAGTATGATACTAATTCAATTATGCTAAAAAAAAAAAAGGGTGTTTAGGTCTTTTGGTTTCCAACCAAACGAGCCCTATGTAAGAACAAAAGATTCAATATACATAGGATTTCACTTTCCTTTTATGTGTGTTAACGTCCCAATGTTTCAGCCCTCCTGACTTTCGTTCCCATTAATCTCTTGTGCTTCCAATAAAAAATCAATCGAGCTCCGAAAACAATAAACGCTCCCGCCGCATCGATCCTCGTTTTCCGGCTCCTGATTTCCGGCGTCGCTGCCGCCGCTATCCTATGCCCTCGCAGACAATGGCAGATGTATGGGCATGGATGATCTTCTTCTTCATGCTCGTTGCTCTTATTGTCATGGTCGTTTTCCAGGTGAAATCAACTAAATCCCTAGAAATTCCCCCCCAATTTCTCCCCACTGCTATCAAATTTGTCAATGTTTCGGCGTTTATTGCTTCTAGAATACTGTTAGTTGCCTTTAGGTGTTGGTAAAGCTTATTAATTTATAATTTTTTTTCGAATAATTGAACTCAGCTGATTGGATTACCGAGACTAGTCTTTGTTTAATTTATTAATTTAAGCTAATTATCTGTAAGTAAGTTGGAGTAGCTTATGAAATATCTGTAATCTTAATCATTAATAATCAGTTTTACCAAATAGGCATGTAATTAAATGCTTAATCTTTATTAACAAAAGAGAAGCTGCAATACAATTGAACATCTACCAACTAGAAAAACTGTTTTTTTTTTTTTTCATGGTTATATTGTGCTTTAATGTGGAGTCTAATACTTGAAATTTTCTTAGCTTATGTGCCTGGCGGATCTAGAATTCGATTATATCAACCCTTATGACTCTGCATCTAGGATAAATAAAGTTATCCTCCCGGAGTTCATCACGCATGGAGTTTTATGCTTCCTCTATCTTGTAACTGGGCATTGGGTTGCAGCACTTCTCTGTGTTCCATACTTGTACTACAACGTGAGACTGTAAGTTCTGATAAAATTTGTTTTTGGTTCAGGTGCAGATGATTTGACATGTGATAATTATTAAATTTGTTGTTGGGTTGAGCTCTATGCATGCTGATAAATTTATGTCATCCTCCTCTAGAATCAACCTAGATTTCTTGGTATCTTTGATGTACAAAGACATTGAAGCTATTTGTTTCATAGATTTTCTTCACTCAGTTTTTAGGAATGTGGTTAAGGGCTAGTTTGTCATGGTAATGTGAATTGGAGATATGTTGTAGTCCTGGACACTCCATTTTTATCAAAAGTTGAACCAATCTCCATCGTCCATTAAGTCTTGTACATCCTTAAGTCAGCAATTTATCAATAGAAGTATTAAAATTCTTCCAAGAATCAATCTTTAACAAGCCAATGGTTTATGAAACACCAAGCGCCTGATATAAGCGTGAATAACTGGTTAGTTTCTTCAGGGGATCAATTTCACATAGTGACTTCGAACATAGTGTTTATTTTTATTTACAGAAAGCCAAAAGGGTAAAAAAAAACAGTGAGACGCTGAGCACTGAAGCATGAGAGGTAAGTGAAACCCACAAGTATATAACATAACACACTATTTTAGTAATTTTTTTTACTAAGTGAACTATGGTAGTTATGGTATTCCAGTCTCCAGACTCAACCCATGCTTAGGAGGATTTTAGTAAAAGCAGTTGCATGGTAAGAACTGTTTACCTTCTTTTGGGAGTGTACAGTGTCACCTGATTTGCATTTACCTTGAACTCTTTACCTTCTCTTGGTACTAAGAATTTATCAGAAAAAAAGCTGGTTGAGATTATTGGGGTTTGTGTTCTTACTAGATTGTACTTGTTTGAACCTGATGCTAGTATTGTATTGCTAAACTTAGTGAAGGAACTAATTAAGTCCATCCATTATTATCTTCTATCATAGACATTAGACAGTAGCATTGCTTGGAACCTTAGACCTGAATACTAAATATCTTATTTACCGAGTTTCTCATGTGCCTACAACTGCTGCATTTCCTCTTCCTGAAGAAAGGCGTTTCCTACTGGTCTGAATGCATATGTTAATGACATTATTTTATTCTTCAACGTTAAGTTCCATGATTCTGATAAAAGGAGCACTGGTTAATTTGTCATCATTGTGATGTTGTTTTCGTGGTGATAGGTACCTAGAACGACAGCACCTGATAGATGTAACTGAGATTTTCAATCAACTCAATTATGAGAAGAAACGGAGGCTTTGGAAGCTTGCCTATCTCGTTCTTCTACTCTTCATGTCCTTATTCATGTGAGTGACAGAATATAGACAGACTAATATGAAACATGGCTTGATTGGCTTCTATTATAATTTATAACATTCTCGTATTCTTCTTTGCCCAGGTTGATATACAGCGCTTTGGAGGACGACGACGATGAACATTCACTATAGTTTCATTATCTCGTGCAGACTAAATCTAATCAGGAACCCTGAACCTGGAACAATCATGGTTCTGAAGTTGAGAGCTTGCAAGTATTGTTTTTCGAACCTATCTATGATTGTGGTAGGACATTCTTGTTCTGTTGTAAGATGCCTGGAAATATGTGCCCTACATTATGCTTAGGAGTACATTGAGGAATCTCAGTTCTGCTTCTTTCTCATTTACATTTCACTTGCTCTCTTGTATTCCCTTGTCATTTGAATCTCAAGTATTGTTCATTAACTTTTCCTTTTTTTTTTTTTTTTTTTTTTTTTTTTTTTTTTTTTTTTTTGTTTACGTTCACAAGTGTCAACTCAACAAATCGAATTAAACACAGAAAGTTGTGGACTTTCTTAATTTGCACTTCAATCAAATTAGTTTTGTTGATTTATTTTTGAATTTGAAATATATAAATTAAGACAGTTGAGACTAAATGTGAAATGATCAGTACCGGGCAACTTATGTTGGTTTACTTGTTCTTTTGCTTATTAAGTTCACAAAGTGAAGTTTATATAGTGCACATATATTGAAAGTAGATGTTGTTTTCTCTTGTCGCTTAAAAAAAAAAACAATTTTAAATACAAAATTGGAAAGCTCACGACATTAATTTCAAGACTCCAAAGCAATTTAACATCAAAGTATTAAAAAAATAGACCTAATATCTATTTTAGTCATTGGTTATAATAGTTTTTCTCGCTTTAGTTCTAAACGCCATTTTGAGTTTAATTCAGTCCTCGATCGATGATTTTATCTAAATGAGTCTCTTCTGTAATTGTAATTTGATAATTTTTACTCTATTAATATCTAATTTAGTCATCGACTATAATGATTTTATCCAAATTAGTCATCCACTATAATGATCAATACTCAATTTAGTTCTCGAGTATCTTTTTCAATTTAGTCATTGATTCTAAAAGCAGATGACTCAGTTAAGCACAAAACGACGTTCATGATTAAATTAGAAAGAAAAATATTATATATACTCCCATTCTCTCTCTACTCTTGACTTTTACTTTCACACTTAAAATTTTGATATAGACACTTTTACAAGTCCAAATGAAGAAAATAACTTATCAATGTCTGTCACATCAGGAAGTAAATTTGAGGGAGTAAGATTTGTGAGTACAATTTTTTTTTTTTTGGGTGGAAATGATTTGGAAGTACATGTAGTAAAATTTAATTGAATTTTTTTTATAATAAATGTACTATCAATTCTTCCTCCCTCAATTTTATTCCCTGATGTGGCGGATTCTGATACGTTACTTTTTTTTTTTTTTCAAAATTTTGTGTATAAAAATAAAAATTAGGTGTGAAAAATAGGATTACACAAAACATTTTTTGTAAAGAAAATAGTTTCCGGAAATCCTTTGCATAGATACTGTTTTTGTATTAATATAACACCCCAAACGCGGTATACCAGTTTGAGTACTACTCTTCTTCTCTCCACAAATAGCTCAGCTCAATCTACTCTTCCGAATCTAATTCCAGGTGCGTGTACGAACATGTATTTGAATACTTATCGGAATTACACGATTGATTTCCTTTTATTCAATCTCTGATTTTAAATTCATCGGGAATATCTCTAATTAGGGCATGGTTGAATTAATTGCGTATAGATGAATCTTGTGTTATGCAGTGGACTGAAATTGGCATTACAAAACTGTAAAAATGGTAAAAAGATATATTGTTGAATACACGGCATTCTTATGCCTTTGCTGCAGTTTAGAAGTTAGCATTTTCTTCTTTATCTAGATTAAAATTTACTATTAGAGCAGTATTGGTGGAACTGCAATCATTATCTTTACACATTGCAATTGGTTTGTGCTGCAGTTGAACCCTAAAGCCTTGGAAAGATCATGGTGAATGCCATTAAAGGATTGTTCATTACATGGTAATATTCCTTTTTACTGGAGGAAGGTGTTTATGATCAAAAGAATTGATCTTTTTCATGATAATTTGCCTTTTTGTGAAACTTTTGAACTCTTGTCTGTGCTGTTTTTCTTCTTGCTGACATAAGAGGTTTTTGGTAAATAGCTGGCTGATTGGATTTGTGGGTTTGACTAGTTGATAGCATTAGCTGATTGTAGAAAAGTGTTTGGTAAATTAGCTAATAGCTGATGCAAAATGACTTTCTCAAAAAGCTGATCGAAAAAAGCAGTTTTGAGTAGCTTTTTGAATTTTAGCTTTTTGGAGCAATAAGTTGTTATAAAAAGCTAATTAATTGAACACCCATTGATTGTTTAACCAAGTCAAACAGCTAATAGTGGTCAAATAAGTCAAAATTGGCTGTTAAGCTAACTATGTTACCAAACAGGGCCTTAGATATATTGGACGTTCTCTTCGTGATAAAAGCCTGTTTCTTTGTTTCTTCCATGGTTGCAATAGGCGCTAGGCGCTAGTCGGGTGGTAGAGTAGCGCCTAGCGCCTAGACGGCCTAGGCGGCTAACCAAAAAAAAAAAACAAAAACAGTGCACGTGTGTAGGTGCATATATGTCATATTATATATATATATATATATATATATATATATATATATATATATATATATATATAAATGAAAAAAATTAGCAAGGTCGAGTCGGTCAGGTTAACTCGGCTAACTCGACAGAAATTGACGAGTTAACTCGGCTTAATCGGCCGAGTTAGGCGCTAGGCGGGAGCCTAGGGGGAAAATCGCCACGGCCAAGGGGCGCCTAGCGCCTAGGCGCCGAGTGTGCCTAGGCGGGATTTTTACAACCCTGGTTTCTTCCTGTTTAGTTTTCATTTGTTTCTCGTCTTGACTTTAGACTCGGTGTCTATGCAACTTCAAAAAGCATACATGAATTAATTTTCTATGTTGAATTTAAGTTCTCATATAGGTGCATTCTTTGGTATGAACAGCATTCATGATTGTATACATTTGTGTTCTCTAGGACTTGTAATTAAGATCTATGGCTTTCTTCTGCAGCGATGTTCCCATGGCGCAGTTCATTATCAACATGAATAACGCGTTGCCTCAAGCGCATAAGTTCATAATACACGTCTTGGACAACACGCATCTGTTTGTCCGGTCAGATGTAGCTGGAATGATTCGCAGCGCCATGGCAGAGTTTAGAGATGCAAATACTTACGAGAAACCTTCTTAATCCTGCTCATTTAAGCTCTCTTCATCAAGTCTGAGACAGCAAGAAATGCATTTTTTGCTCTTTAGTGAAGCATTAGTTTGCATGTGTAATGAAGAAGGCTAAAAACTGGATGAGGTTTGCAGTATATTTGTTTGAACTTTGATTGTGAATGGAGATGCACACAAATATTGCTATAACCCTCTGTTTACTTTAATTTTCTGTGTTCTATTTCTCCGTTCTCATCTAGTATCCTCACCACGATAAGACTAATCCTGAGAACAAGTTCAACTTCTGGTAAGAACAGTCTGTTAGTCTTCTTGATTTGAGCTGGTCTGATTTACCTTTTTTGTTATCCTTTATCGAATAAAGATTACATTGACAATGGGAATGGTGAAATTTCATTAAATGGGTTTATAAAGTGAAAGTTAAACTCCATCCCTAATTATACATCTAAACGTTAACATCATTCTAAAGAACAGTGGGAGTGCAAAAACAGAGTTTTACAATCTAAAGAACTAACTACCCAGATTACAACAGACTCATCCATCTATGATCTCATTTCAATCCTGCCTGGGAATATTTGCCAAAAATACTCAGCCTTATGCAGGCAGTGTGACATTGATGTCAGTGGGTTTATTCCTAGTCTCTGCCGGGGGCAACGTGGACCAATTATCTGCGCGGAACGAAGGGGCAGAAGACATGATTGGTTTGGGCGAGGCGTGGTAAGGATCTTCCATCTCGGCGCTGGAGATCGGGACGGCAGCAGTTACTGTCTCGGGCTTGTGTTTCTTCGCCTTCTGCTCGTGCTGATTTCCGGCGATGAAGCTGCCCACGACAACCTTGTTGTGGTACAGGGAGATGTCGGTTTATTAGCGACACAATTTAGAATGGGATCGGATATGCAGTTGTGGATTGATGAACGAGAAGAAGAAATACCTGCACGGGACCTGCAGCTACTAATAGACCCGCAACTCCACCCCCTACAACGCGCCCATCGGGGCTCGCTAAAGACACGCTCATCCCGCCCGATCTATTCCTCATTCCTCCCGTCTCGGACGGCATAAACGATCCCGTCAACGACAATATCTCAAAACGGCCCTAGATAATCAGAACGGGACATGAGATTACTGGTCAATTCAACAATGAAATATTAGGTGGTACCATTACCTCGTATGTCAATGTTCCACCTGAGGAATCAGGCTGTCGAAGAGTGACACTAGAAATCACTCCATTTGCCGAGAGAATACAGATTGCTCGAGGCCCTTGTTGAGAGAACGATATAATCTTCATCGTAACATCCTATATAAAAGCAAGAAGGTTTATAATCCCGATAATAGAAACAATGCAGGCTACAGTTTTTGGGCAGGTTTATATCATTGAGCTGCTCAGAATCGTCAGATTAATTGATGAAATAGTTTGCTTTATGTACAAAATCCTCCCTAGATATGAAGAAATGTATACCAATCATTGAGAAAAGAATATATCTTTGATAACCGAAAGTTATGTGCATTTTTGTCTCATCAAATTGGAAAAAACGTCCCGAATATTCTTCTACTATGACGAACAAGTTACCTCTCCAGAATTCACAGTGATTATATGTGGAGTAAAATTAGCACCAACAGAGCAAGATTCCCAATCACCTACACAAAGAAAAATCGAGAACTATTAATATAACTAACACATAACACATAACAGCTAGTATAACATAACCATATTTCGAGTCCAGATGATACAGATGAACTAGAAGAAATACCAAACTAGCAAACCGCACTTCATCATTTCCAAAATTTTTCGGGACGAGAAACTATAGCCCTAAACCAATATGACGACCAGAAAATTCTGGCAGTTGGCTCTAACCCTTTCCCACTCAGGTCAGAAAGCATAGAACTTACAATTCCATCGCCCCGTCTGCATTAGTTGCCACGGAGAATCTTTACAAGAGAATCTTTGTTTTTTTCTTGCCACGTATCAGACAAAAACACGGGAAACAGTTGGCTAGACCAACAGAAACCAGCTAATACAGTTATGCATCATTATAAAGAACAGGTAGAAAGTTGCAGGTAAAGTTAACACACAATAACAAACTCCTTCCCGTAGTGAATCTAACACTCGAATACTCGATATTACCTACTCTATAGTGTCAGAGTAACGACTATACCATATAATTCTGGAACGAAAAGTGCCAAATGCCAGCTATAAAAGCTTCAAGATTCCCTCATTCCCAGACCAAACCAAAAATCCCACCTGACTTTCAGAACCACCCAAAAACATCAAGATCTAATGGTTGAAGCATCTATTCAGAGGTCCCACATTTCCCCGCGAATTGGCTTAAACACTATCACCACTACATACACAGATCACACAACAATCCATTAATCTCAACATAAAAGCAAATTAAAGATCTCAACTTTAAGTTCAACTACACAGTTTTGATAACATGAGAGCATATATAAATGCATAAAAGTGGCTTCACCTGAAGTGTCCAGCCTCACTTTAGGCTGGTGTGGCTTGCTAGCTGACCCACCGGCGGCTGGCCGGACTTTCCCACGTTTCTCGGCTGAGAAGTCAATCACAGGGGAAGGAGCCGCCGTGGAAATAGGCTTGGGGGAAAGAGCCACCGTGAAGGACCCATCTGGGCCATACTTTCTTGGCCTTCCCCTCTTCTTCTTCATTAAGGTGGCTCCGGCTGTTTCACCGCCGGCGGCCGGTGGTGCCTCCGGCGGCTTTGATCCAGTAACTTGGGTGGGATTCTCAGTGGTCCTTGGCGCCACATGGTAGTCTGAGGGAGCATCTGATCCCACCACAGTAACTCCACCAATACTCAAACCCTCACTAACCTCCATACTCAAACTCTCACCCAACACTCAAAGAATAAAAATTTTCCCAAAAAAAAAAAAAAATTAAATAAAATAAACACAAAAATTCCTCTCAGCTTTTCTTCAGAATCCCATACTTCTCATCAACTTCAAACACCAAGAAACCACAGATGCAATGGAAAAAATACCCCAAAAATAATATTTTTTTACTTCAAAATCAGAACCCAAAACTAAAACCCAAAAAAAAAAAAAAAATACAAAAAAATTTACTGTAAAAATGAAGATTTGAACCCTTACCAGAATACCAGTGTTGAAGTAAGTAGAGTAGGATCAAAGTAGGAAAAAGCTGAGGCCTTTCATTTCTCCTTTCAGTATTTTTTTTTTTTTTTTTAAATCTTCAGGAAAAATGTGGAACAAAAGCAGGAAACATAAAAACTAATGGTGAAACCCAAAAATATATTTTTGGAAAATTTTGTGTATTTTCCTGAATTAAAGAGAGAAAAAAGATTGAATTTTTATGGCGTGGGAAGAGTGAGAAAATGTGAAAATTGGAGTTTGGGGGAGTAAAAAATAAAAGCTAAAATTTGAGTTTCCTAACTTTCCTCAGATTTGTCTGAATCTATAATTAAACAAAAATAATAATGAGAGAAAAAGCTGTTATTAAATATTAGGTAAGTAATTATTAATTATTGAAAGCAAGAAAACTATGTATTTTGGTTAAGCAAATGGTTGGAGTCCGGTTGAAAATAAAAATATAAATTTTAAAAAATAATTTTATTTTGTAGTTGGGAAAAGTGAAATTAGGTTTGCCAAGGCATGAGACAACCATCACTGTCTATAAAAAATATATATAATTTTTTTAAAAAGAAATAAAATGAAGGGCATTGTGACATAAACATTACATCTGTATTTTCCTGAATTAATTATTAATTTTTTTCAGCTCCCAAATAAGGACAAGATGATATATATTATTTATTTAGTAAATGAAAATGAGATGAAAATGCATTAATTTGTTTTTTTTTAATAATTTTTAATTATTAATAAATAATTAACAAGATTTTTTTTTTATATATTGAAGAAGGGTACCCGAAAAAGGAGAACAGAGTTTACAGCTAACTATACATAATACGCCAGGTAGGAAAACCAGCAAAGTCATATTCAAAAGCTGATTTGATCACGTCCGGGGGATCCGTTAAAGATAAGAGCCCAAAGTCATGGTTCATAGCCAGTTTGGCTAATGCATCAGCCACGCTGTTTTGTTCGCGATTGATATGTGTAATTTGCCAATAATCAAACCTGCTAAGCTCTTTCCTGCAGGCCTCCAGGATGTTATGATCAGCTACCGTTGATGGACGTGTAATGCGAAGGTAATCCACGGCTGCGCTTGAATCACTTTCGAACAGCATGCTCCTAAAGCCCAGCGAGTAAGCTAATTGGACGCCCTTCAATAGCGCCCATGCTTCTGCTTCGAGGGGGTGCAAGTTCCTAGTTTTGCAATAATTAACAAGATTTACTTACTATGATGATTTTTTTTCTTTATTTTGTAAATGTTATAAGGAAGACACCAATTTAAAACATTTCTACTCCCATATATTTTAATAGAACAAAGTGCCATGATTTATGTGCCAAGACTTAAATATATTAATATCTCATAGATTCAATCTATCATTCTTTTTTAAACTTAAAATTATGGTAAAGTTTATGATAATCGATATAAATTGAGTTACAATAATTTAGAATAAAGATTCAAAATCTGAAAATTGTGTCAAAGATCTTGTGATCGAGCGACATAATTATGGTTCTCATGAGAGGTTACCGATTTAAACTTCAGTTGGGACATCGTAAAAAAGTCAATAATACTAAAAAAATAAAATAAAATAATAAAATAAAAATTACACACTAAAAGGCATCCAGTTGGCAATTTGGCATATTCCATGTTATAATTTACTACATAAAATAAATTTTCATTTCTATTTTCTTTAATCTTTAGTATAATAATTCTTGCTTTGTACACCACTTAATTGGCATCATTTATGCCTCATCTATAGTATTTTTTTTATTTGTTTATTATATAATATGTACGTGTCCACTTCTAGTAGTCTTCCCTACATCAAAGGCAATAATTACAAAAAAATAAAAAATAAAAAATAAAAAATAAAAAAGAAGAAGCATATGAATAGATGATGTTCATTTTCCAACTGCACATAGAAGACTTTATTCTTGGACACTTTATTTATTTATTTATAATAATTGTGTCTAATATGTCTCATAATGAAATTATGTTTTACCTATAAAGTGCAGATGAGATAATGTAAGTTTTGTCATACTCAATTTTTGTGTGTGGTGCTAATTAATTGGTTAATGCAAATTGTAGTTAAACAAAAAATAAAATAAATGAAAATAAGCTCTTAAATTTTTATATAATATAAAATAGTTAAAATGTCAATTAATATTGAATTAAATATTTAAAGTAGTATAAAAGTATTAGCTTTTTTAATAATTCAAAATTTCTGATTTTGTTGGATTATATATCAAACTCCATGAACGTACTCGGTAAATTGAGTTATTGTACATTTTTTTTTTGTTTTTTTTTTTTTTTAATAACGGTGATGGGCCATTTTTTTAGAACAATATTGAGGATTTGTGGGCTACTATATTATTAAGTCCCAACGAAGCCCAGAACAGGATTACGTTATCCTGTTCAAGGATAACATAAAGCATCCTGGATTAATGGCTTGATTGCCTGCATGTTCTCTCAGAATTGGGCTACAATACCTAGTGCTGACTCCATGTTTGACTCGGAGATTGGGACATGATTATGTTCATGTCCCTTTCCAGTGACAATCACGTTGCGTGACAATCCGGCGAGTAATTGTGACTGAAACATCATCACAATTTTGACAAATAAATATTAGAGTAATTGATAGGGATGGTGGGTCGATAGAAAGTTCGAGAAATTATAAAACACGTGTTAATACTATGGAGATTTTAATTAGTTTGGAGCGGGGTTGCGGGAATAGGCACTTGGTCAGGGGCATGTGGTCAATTGCTCAAGTCAAGTAGCAATCGATTGGAGTGTTCAAAATATTGCCTAGGTTGCTCGAATAAGGAGTGGTCAGCTGATTTTGTGGCGAAACTGGTCGTGTCTAGTAGGACGAATCAATTCTATCTATAATATTATACTATAGATAGAATTTTATTACAGTACAATATCGTTTAATTTTCTGTTCGGTATTAATTTAAGAGAAGAGTATGATGGAAGCAAAAAACAATCAATTGTAAGCATGCATACAAATGTTTGTGGACAAGGAAGACATTACCGCATTTTGGGGTTCATTTGGTCGGCTAAATCTTATCATTTTCAATGTCAACTTGACAATCTTTAAACTAATTTATTCTTTAGCTTAGAAACAATATGAATTGGAAAATAATTCAAGTGGCACTATTTAATTACCATTTTCTAAAATTTGACTAAATCTTTCTTTCTATTATTAAAACAAAATCATTTTTCACAAATATTGCTTATTTCTTGAATCCCCGATCTCAAGAGCCTCCACGCCCCAACCCAACAAAACATCTGAAAGAATATAAATCAACTGAACACAAAGGATAGACCTTTGCTTATTGGTTACTGCGCATCACTTTGAGAGGTTGCTCACACACTGTCGCTGGTGAAAATGTGAGACTCAATCCCGGGTCATTAAGTCAAATGTTGGAATGTTGGATTATGAAATAAAAAAAATATTTGATATATATATTTATATGTTGGAATGATTATGTACACAACCAATTTCCTATCCCTACAACCTAATCAAATCTCCTTGGCGGCAACAAATAACCAATTTACAATTTACAACCACAAACCAACCAACTTTTTGTTTCTATTTTCATTTCTCTACTTCTCAACAAATGTGTATATACCTACCTGTCTACCCTACAACTAACTACCATCACCAAACCACTTCCTATGCACAACACATGTCTAATGTGTCCATGTGAACTCGACACCTCGGTCACATGACGATGTGAACCTAGTTTGACCCGACAACCTCTGTTCAATCGAGTTCACACATCACTCGATCTCGAGCCCTAAGAATAGTGGAAAACGTTAGGGTTTTTGTGTCGGGGACAACATGGGACTCTTTCTCGTAATGCATTCAAGAACAAGATTTGATCAATCCCAGATTGTAGAGATTCCTCCTTACTATGCTTCCGAGTGAGAGCAACATTGCCCCGCCACCCGCAGGCTGCTCAGCCTCTTCGGCAGCCCTATGATACATCAATGGCAGTTCCTTCACTTCCAAGTCACCCCAACCGATCTTCTCTCGAATAGCCTCGATGGCTTTTGGGTCAGCGCAATTCCCAGTCGTGTCTGTTACATAGAACACGTTCTGAGCTGTGTCGTCTTTTGTTGATATCTCGGCCCTCTTCACATTAATGCCATTTTCCCGGAAGGTTCTCATCACATCCGCCAATAGCCCTTGTCTGTCGCTTGTACTTAGCTCGAGTCGTGTCCCCTGACATCATTCACAAAACATATTACTAAACCAAACATTTATGCAATTTAAGACTTGCAAGAAACAACCTACTTTCAACTTTGAATTAGAATCATTCCAAGATTAAAGGTAAAGTAAAGCACACTATAGTGATATACCTCGGATGCTCGTCTTTCAATGGCTGCTTGGAGGCAAAGAATCACGCGCTGTTTCTCAGCATCAGAACTAATCGGGGTTCCATCCGTGTGTCTGATGAAGAATTCCTACAACAGATAAACGAGCATTCTTGAGCAAAGGTTTTAAGATTGATTCGACATTGTTTATACAGACACGATTTCTGTTCCTAGTATCTTACCAAGGATGCTCTATCCCCGACCGTGTTCACCGTGGCGTGGAACACCACATAGTCCATGTCTGTGAGCGTGCAGACCACATCGAACAGGAGCTTAGCGCGATCCTTGCAATGAACATTGACAACCGAGTAGCCCCTTTCGAGACAATTCAAAACCGAGACCACGGGAACGACTGGTTTTCTCTCGTAATCCCGGTCAGCAAACATCATCTGGTGAAGCCTTCTCTCGGGATGCATAACCGCCATGGAAACCGAGGTCTTGGCACTCCGGATATCATTGTCCCCCTTGAGGACATACCTCAGTCGAGCCTCGATTCTGTCCATCTTTTGGCAGTCTTCGATTGGGGACCCGGAATCGCAATCTTTGAGATATATCAGAGCTGCAATTCTGCCATTGTTAGTCCACACTTTAGACTCCACCACGCTGCACTGCAAATCGGATAGAACAGCGAAAACCTCTGACAGTAACCCGATTCTATCAGTCCCGGTTAATTCTAGCCCGGTTAACCCTTCAAAACTGCTTGAACTTCCATACTGAGTTCTTCCAAGGGACTGTAACCAGACATGAAAACATTACATTAAATGAGTGATTAAGGTTTCAGGATTAGATTTACCACCTATATTTCATCAAAATTACCACTGCTAATTACCTGTTGAATGTAATTGATGACACTCTCATCTGTTAACTTCTCCCCATTCAAGTCAGTAACATGAAAAACTGTATTCATAGGAAAAGAATTGAAACAGCAAAATCAGC